ACGACATGCTGTCCTATTGTAAGGAAATTAATGCACTTTTGTCCTCTATTTCTGCCCAGGTCAGGAGCGCCCTGCCACAGGCTGCGCAGGCGACTGGGTCCTGGTGAAGGAAACGAGACGAAAGCACTGGCGGTCCAAGCGCTGGCTCGGCCCATTCCTCGCCCTCCTGGTGACGGACACTGCCGTTAAGGTCGCGGAGAGGACAACTTGGATCCACGCCAACCACTGTCGTGCGGTGCTGCCACTGAGGGCCATAGACGAGGACACCGAGGGCGCGGACGGACCAGGCCCATCCGCGGCTCCCTACGCTGAAGAAGTCGACCGGCGTGCGGCCACCGTCGGTGAAGCAGGCCAACAACAACACCCAGAGAATCCCAGCGTTCCCGAGGCGACCCCCCTTCTGCCCAACTCCCCAGCCCCCGGATCCCAAGGCTTGGGAGCCATGAAGGCCCTGAGCGCTCTGCTCAGCTGCAGCAAGTATGCAGAGCTGCTGCCCATTCCAAAGATTTCTCCAGAGCTTGCTCCCTCTGGCCATAATGCAGATTTGAGCTCTGCTGGAGTGCCCCCCCTGGCGTCTCGTCTCCCGTGTGTCCGGAGGAGGTGGAGATGAGGGCTGCTCTACAGTTCCTGATGAGGCACATGGTGAAGCGTGCTGTCATGAGGTCTCCCATCAAACGAGCTTTGGGCCTGGCCGATCTGGAGCGTGCTCAAGCCATGGTCTCCACACCCCAAACCCCGAGCACTCTGCCCAACCGAGTGCTGAGGCCAAGGCTTCAACGCAATTAGAGTCTTGCCGCTCCAAGACCAAACATCGCCATGACCACTAACGCTCCACACACGCTCATAGGGAGCGGTGCCACTGACTGCGAGACGGCACTGCTCGTGAGTATTCCCGCGGAAAAGACTACCGAACGTAGCCCGGCTAAGACCGGCATGGGCCCTTGGACTGTTATGCTGGCCACACTGACACTACTTTCCGTGCTGACCGTGTTTATTATGTTAATATTGTCTTCTCTTATCGCTGTCCGGATCCATTGTGTTATTATAATGTGCTCTTTCTTTTATTGACAAGCATGTTTCTTTTCTTGTCCACTTTGGACAGCAATAATTTAAGTGTTTCAAGCTTGAAGGTGGTGTGATTACGATGCCTCTGGTATTTAACTGATTAATGCAAAAATGGTTTTGAATTATCAAAAGAGGGGAGTGTGGTGACAGTTTTTGGAGTAATTACATAAAACCAGCCGCAGCTAATACACGGACGTCAAAGGCCTTTTATCAAGGCAGAGACGACCTTCTGACGCCATGCTGAGCTTTGTGAGGGCCCCTGCTGTCTGTCACACCCTTGTGTCTTTCGTATCTTGAATCTGTATGCCTGCTTCTATCCATATGTCCCTGCTGCCAGGAAGGAGCCGGGCCCCCCCCCGACACCTACAGACAATGGCGATCACTCTTGCCCCCTTTCACCTCTTGCATATGTATCGGTCTGTATGTGTGCACTTTCTACATCCTGCAGTCTGTTTGCATCCCTATGCGCCTCCTGCACCGGTGGCCCCCTCCCATCTGTTGTGGGCGGGACTGGCTTTCGTGTGTGTCTTGTAATACAGGAAACTCGGGGCTCTGGGCTCAGAGCTGGTACATGCTGCCTTTGTGTGTATGTGCTGGCTCTCCGCACGTGTGTTAACAATAAACTTACGCTTTTGATCAGACAAAGGACCTTTGAGTTTTCTCCTTCATGGGGTATATAATTCTACAACAGTACTCAGAATGACTTCTGCTGTGATAAGAGGTTAGTGAAGGTGCTTCTTCTGCCTCACATTGTGACGGGGCCACACAGCTTGTCTTAGTACTGAGAGCACCGCACTGGGACGCGCGCTCTTTTTCTCTGGAGCGTCCGTGTTATGCGCGCACGTACTACAGCAGCGTTTACATATTACCCACGGCTAGTTCTCTGTCTGGGGGGGAGTGTGAGTGCGTTTGGTGAGATCTCGGGTGCACACTAGGTCTCACCGTCGTGCTACTCACCGTTCGTGTGTGCGCGCACGTGCGTGCGCTCCTCGGGACTGCGCGCGTGTGTCCCGTGGGTTGGCCAAACAGAGGCAGAGACGCACACACACATTATAAGTGTTGAGGAGCGTCATGTGATCCTTATTATTTGTTTTTGTTTCTTATGACTGTAAAGGGGGATTATTCAGTGTGGGGATTATCCTATTCTTTACTGTGTAGTGGGGGACTATTTCTATAGTATTGTTTTGGGGTTAAATGGACTTTAAAGTCAGTGAATCTATTTTGTGTTTGTCAAACGCCCAGGGGAGGGGCTTGTGCTTTAAAGGAATAGTTCACCGTTTTTACATACTGACATATGTTCTTACCTTACCTTAGACTAGTTAATACGTACCTGTGTGATCTTAGTCCGTGCGCTCTGTTATGCAAACGGAGCAAAAACGGGAGGACAAATGCAGCCTCCTCTGGTCACTGTGTAGCACCAAAAGGTAGCTCCCGCTAGAAGCTACCAAACTCTTCCAAGTGTTCCCTATTAAATGTATATAGTTACGTGACGTGTTACACTGCAAAGTATAGTAACACAGAAATGTAACTGTCGATTTTCTCAGCGGATAAAACGGGTACTATATTGTGAGGCGTAGTAATCTGAGGTGCGCTACGTCCGCGCACTAACTTCTCTCCGTACTACAAGTCACGCTGCTTCTATTGACGGAAGTGAGCGAGAGAGAAGTCTCCGGAGAGAAGTTAGTGCGCGGACGTAGCGCACCTCAGATTACTACGCCTCACAATATAGTACCCGTTTTATCCGCTGAGAAAATCGACAGTTACATTTCTGTGTTACTATACTTTGCAGTGTAACACGTCACGTAACTATATACATTTAATAGGGAACACTTGGAAGAGTTTGGTAGCTTCTAGCGGGAGCTACCTTTTGGTGCTACACAGTGACCAGAGGAGGCTGCATTTGTCCTCCCGTTTTTGCTCCGTTTGCATGACAGAGCGCACGGACTAAGATCACACAGGTACGTATTAACTAGTCTAAGGTAAGGTAAGAACATATGTCAGTATGTAAAAACGGTGAACTATTCCTTTAAGAGCAGGACCGGTCTGGCCTGCTCGAGTTTAGTGATGCTTGGTTGCAGAGAAGGCAACACCTGAGAACCTGAGATGAGCATGCGCCTACAACTTGTAAATATTGCACTGTATTGCACTGGGATAATAATGGGAAATAATAAATCACTGTGAAAAGTGTTTTTTGACTGAGCCATTGTGTTTTTGGGAAAAGACCCCACAACATATGGTGTCAGAAGTGGGATGGCCAGTCAGAAGAAGCATTCTTATTTTCCGCGCAAACGCACCAGACTCAGGTCACAGAAGACTGAGAGTTTGTCTTTGGGGGCCACCGGGGGAATAGAGCGAGATGAAGATGCCTGTGCGACGGAGGACGAAGAGGAGCCCTCCTCCCGTGGCCAACCTCCATCCGATGGATCAGGAGGGGAGCTATTGGCACTGATGCGGGGCTTCCTGGAGGGACAGCAGAGGAGGGAAGAAGGTCTGCTCGCTGAGCTCAGAGAACTCCGAGCATCAGGGCCACAGCGGGCTGGTTCCCCAGATGGAGATCGCTCATCCGCTTGGAGTCCACGAATCGACCTGCCCACTCCTGCACCTCGGCAGCGTGGCCAAAACTCCATGAGAGAGAGAAGCGGGGTACTGGAACAACCGAGACCAGAGGTCAGATCGTACAGTGACCCCAAAATTCCACTGTATCAGGTTGGAGAGGACATTGAGAACTATCTCCTGCGCTTTGAACGCATTGCAAAGACATGGGCGTGGCCAGAGAACGAGTGGGCTTGCCGCCTGGTTCCCCTGCTTACCGGCAAAGCATTAGAGGCGTATACAGCAATGGATGAGGAGCAAGCTCATTGCTATCCAGAGCTCAAAGCTGCACTGCTGGAAAAATTTGACATTTCCCCAGAGACATATCGTCAGCAGTTTAGGTCAACCGTTGTCCCTCCGAATGAAAACCCAACTAGGGATGTAAATCGGCGACCGGTTAACCGGTGGTTGACCGTCACAGCGTTAACCGGTCAAAGCTGTCGGTTAAAAAAGAGAAAAAGGGGAGAGGGGAGGTCTCTTAATAACGCTATTTTAAGCCCTATTTGCACGGTGTGACGAGCGGGTCTGTATCTAGCTGTATGCGCCCATGTATTATAAACTCCGGGACGACTCTCACGCCGCACGAGCCACATATGCACACACGCACGCGCGCGCACACACACACACACACTTTCCCCCTCTCCATGCGTAACATCCACACGCATCATCTCTCCCCTCTTTTACCGTCAAAGTTGCACACTGGCGCGGGTCAGAACTACATTGGAGCTTACATTTACACACACACACATATACATACACACACACATACACACACACATACATACACACACACATACCGGTCTGTCGCGCTCCTCTGTGTCACGGAGCCCAAAGGATTCGCGCAAATACGCGGCTCCTTTTGGGAGTCGCGTATTTCCCCTACATGTTTTGCTGTAGGGGAAACATGTTTGTGTTTATGGTCCTCGGGATCAGCTCCACACACATCACTTGTATTTAAACTTTTGTGAAGACCTGTGAGACGCGGCTCGTCACTCGCTGCTCTGACCATGTGAACGAGCCGTGTTTGCTGCTAGAAAGTTTTGGTATTAACCCGCAGCTCCGCAGAATGGGAAGATTAAAAAAGCAGTTCTCTGTGCGCAAAGGTGCCGGAGCTGTTGCGGGTTTGGGCGCCGCTGTCTTGGCTCTGATCCAGTAGAACGCAGAGCTGCACTTATGAAAAGTACGCGGCTCGAAATGGCTGTTATTTCAAAGAACGTGGACTATTTTAAACTACGCGGTTAACCGGTTTCAACCGGTTAATGAGGCTCGGTGGTCGGTCATGAAAATTCATAGTTTTTTACATCCCTAAACCCAACTGAAACGTATCACCGTCTGAAGTCCCTTTATCGACGCTGGATCCATCCGGAGCTACACACCAAGGAGGATATAGGAGAGGCTATCATCCTGGAGCAGCTACTTCGTGTTCTTCCGGGAGAGGTGAGAACGTGGGTGAAGGAACATGAACCAAAGAATGGGCTGGCAGCTTCCAAGCTGGCTCTCCAATACTTCAATGCTCGGAAGGGGAGCATGACGTCGTACTCCAGCAGCTCTGCTCGTCGACCAGCACCGCCGCCCAGATTGGTGAGACCAGAGGCCAGCCATGATACTCCTCCAGGTAACTCCGGACACCCCTCAAGTCGACCAGGATACGGTAAGGAGCTTATCTGCTTTTACTGTCAACAATCAGGACACAAGGCCTCACTCTGCCCTATCCGTAAAACAAAGCTCTCTGGTGCATGTTACGCGCCACGGCCTGAAAGAGACAGACAGACTGTGACTTTGAGACGGCATAAGCCTCTGGTAGTAAATGGACAAAGAGTGAATGCTTTGTTGGACAGTGGCAGCTTCATGTCTCTTGTAAGGCAGGATCTTGTACCAGTGAGTAAAATAGACTATGGGGTGCAGGAGGACATTGTATGTGTACATGGTGACAGACACCTCTATCCAACCACTGACTTGACTGTGGACATTGATGGGCAAACCTACCTGCTGACTGTGGGGGTTGTGGAGAACCTGCCGGTTCAGGTAATACTTGGCTGGGACCTACCCATACTACTGGACTTGTTATTGGACAATAGACATGACCCAGAGGAGAAGGAGACAACCAGTCGATCCTGTGCGGTACTGACTCGGGCGCAAGCTAGGAACAATCTCCAGGTGGCATCAAAGACATTGGACTCGGGGGCAGGGGGTAGCCTGAATCCAGTTGGTGATAGTTTACCTGATCTACCATTTTCTTTTGATGACAGTGTTTTTGAGGGGGGTTCTAAAGGGCTGAGAAAGTCTCGGCGTCAGCGCCGTTTTGAAAAGCAGCTGCACAGGGAGTGCCCAGACGAGCGGGGGGAGATTAAAGGCCATTGGGAAGTGCCAGGGGACATTTCAGAGTTACAGAAGGGTGATAGTACGTTGAAACCGCTGTTTTCAAAGGTGATTAACAGTGCAAAAGAAGCTAAATTTGACCAGGAATGTTTTGTACTTGACAATGATGTGTTGTATAATGTGGGGGAAAGTTCTAAACGGCTGGTAGTACCTTCCACCGCAAGACCACTTGTTATGCACCTTGCACATACTATTCCGTGGGCGGGGCACTTGGGCCGACATAAAACCTATCTTCGTGTTAGCTCTAGATTTTATTGGCCATCCATGTATTCCGATATACAGAAATACTGTGCTTCGTGTCCAAGTTGCCAAAAGACATGCTTTGTCCGCAAATCTGACCGAGCTTTCCTTCAGCCTTTACCCGTCATTAACATTCCCTTCCGCCGCATAGCCATGGATATTGTTGGACCCCTCCCGAAAAGTAGCCGAGGTTTTCAGTATATCCTGGTTATTTCAGATTATGCCACCCGTTTTCCGGAAGCGTTTCCTCTGCGAACAATAACTGCTCCCGCGGTTGTGCGTGCTCTCATTCAGCTGTTCTCCCGTGTAGGAATCCCTGATGAAATTCTGACAGATCAGGGTACGAACTTCACCTCTCGGCTCATGCAGCTTTTCCATAAGCAGCTGGGAATCTCTCCACTCCGAACAACACCGTATCATCCTCAAACTGATGGTCTCGTTGAAAGATTTAACCAGACATTGAAGAAGATGCTGCGAAAGTTTGTATCAGACACTGGCAAGGACTGGGACCAGTGGCTGCCATTTTGTCTATTCGCCTATCGAGAAGTGCCGCAGGCCTCGACCGGGTTCTCGCCATTTGAGCTCCTCTACGGCTGGGATGTTCAAGGTCCCCTGGATCTCCTGCGTAAAGGCTGGGAGGAAGCCACCCCTCAACCCAATGAACGAAGCATTGTACAGTATGTCCTGGACATGAGGGATAGGCTGGGGAAGTACCAGGAGGAGGCAGAGGTGAACCTGCGGGATGCCCAACGCAGCCAAAAGACCTGGTATGATCAGCAGGCTCGTCATCGGGAGTTCCAGGCTGGACAAAAGGTTCTCTTTCTGCTGCCGTCGGCAAACAGCAAACTATTGGCGAAGTGGCAGGGGCCTTACACAATTGTTCGCAAAATGGGCCCTGTGACGTATGAGGTGCATCATCCAGACAAAAAGAAGTCAAAACGGACTTATCATGTCAACTTACTCAAGGCGTGGAAAGATGCACCACCTTCCTTGCAATCCCTACTGGTGAAGAAAGTAGACTCAGATGAGGAGGAGTTGGGGATGGAGTCCCTGCCCAAATCTGCAGTTCCCGTGTTGGCCCACCTCACTCCAGAGCAGACAACACAGTTGTTCCAGGTTTTTGAAGAAGCTCCATCCCTGTTCCAAGCCAAACCTGGACGGACTACTTTAGTAGAGCATGTGATCCGCTTGAGAGAGGGACGCCCAATCCGCCAACGGTCATATCGCGTTCCACAGCACCTAGTCAACAAGCTCAGAGAGGAAGTGGAAGAGATGCAGCGGTTAGGAGTCATTGAGCCGTCTAATTCTGAGTGGTGTAGCCCAGTAGTGATAGTGCTGAAGAAGGATGGTTCCCTCAGGATTTGTATTGACTTCCGCAAACTCAATGCAATTTCAGAGTTTGACGCCTACCCCATGCCGCGTATTGACGAACTGCTCGAGCGCATTGGAAGTGCCCGGTATATCACCACCCTCGACTTGTGTAAGGGGTACTGGCAGGTGCCCTTGGGGAAGTCCAGCCGACCTTTTAACGCCTTCCAGACACCAGCGGGGCTCTTTCAATTTACTGTCATGCCCTTTGGACTGCATGGAGCCCCGGCCACCTTCCAAAGATTAATGGACAGAGTCCTCCAAGGGTGTGGTCAGTGCAGCGCGGCCTATCTGGACGACGTGGTGGTGTTCAGTCACACCTGGGAGGAACACTTGAACCACTTATCTTTGGTTCTGGGAAAGATTCAGGAGGCTGGATTGACCCTGAATCCTTCAAAGTGTGAGTGGGCGAAGAAAGAGACTCAGTACCTGGGCTATTGTCTTGGACGGGGTGAAGTGCGGCCGCAGGTTGATAAAGTGGAGGCGATTCGCAACTGCCCCAGGCCCCGGACGAAGAAGGACGTGAGGTCCTTTCTGGGATTATCGGGCTGGTATCGCCGCTTTGTGCCACAGTTCGCCTCCATTGCAGCACCCCTCACATCATTGACAATGAAAGACCAAAAGAACCCTGTAGTGTGGACCGATGCCTGTGAAACTGCTTTCCAGACACTAAAGGCTAGTCTCTGTTCTTCACCAGTTTTGAAAAGCCCTGACTTCACCAAACGGTTTCTGCTCCAAGTGGACGCTTCAGCTGTGGGCCTTGGAGCGGTTCTCGCGCAAGGAGACCCTGGGGAGGAGCAGCCAGTCCTGTATTTGAGCCGCAAACTGTTGCCGAGAGAGACTCGCTATTCCACCGTAGAAAAAGAGGGCCTGGCAATAAAGTGGGCATTGGACAGTTTACGGTACTATCTCTTAGGTAGAGAATTTGATTTAGAGACGGACCACCGAGCACTAACTTGGATTAACACTATAAGAGATCAGAACAGCCGTCTGACGCGCTGGTATTTGTCCCTCCAACCATTCCAGTTTCAAATTCGCCATCGGGCTGGGAAAGACAATATCGTGGCAGACTTCTTGTCAAGGCTACCGCACATCGCTAGCCTCCCAGAGGGGGAGGGTAATGTGACGGGGCCACACAGCTTGTCTTAGTACTGAGAGCACCGCACTGGGACGCGCGCTCTTTTTCTCTGGAGCGTCCGTGTTATGCGCGCACGTACTATAGCAGCGTTTACATATTACCCACGGCTAGTTCTCTGTCTGGGGGGGAGTGTGAGTGCGTTTGGTGAGATCTCGGGTGCACACTAGGTCTCACCGTCGTGCTACTCACCGTTCGCGTGTGCGCGCACGTGCGTGCGCTCCTCGGGACTGCGCGCGTGTGTCCCGTGGGTTGGCCAAACAGAGGCAGAGACGCACACACCCATTATAAGTGTTGAGGAGCATCATGTGATCCTTATATTGTGTTTTTGTTTCTTATGACTGTAAAGGGGGATTATTCAGTGTGGGGATTATCCTATTCTTTACTGTGTAGTGGGGGACTATTTCTATAGTATTGTTTTGGGGTTAAATGGACTTTAAAGTCAGTGAATGTATTTTGTGTTTGTCAAACGCCCAGGGGAGGGGCTTGTGCTTTAAGAGCAGGACCGGTCTGGCCTGCTCGAGTTTAGTGATGCTTGGTTGCAGAGAAGGCAACACCTGAGAACCTGAGATGAGCATGCGCCTACAACTTGTAAATATTGCACTGTATTGCACTGGGATAATAATGGGAAATAATAAATCACTGTGAAAAGTGTTTTTTGACTGAGCCATTGTGTTTTTGGGAAAAGACCCCACAACACACATCAAAGCACCTGCTGTGAGTAATGCTATCTTATCTTAACAAAGAACCCTGTGATACTTGTGACATGTCTGTGGTACCTGTGACATGCCTGTGGTACCTGTGACATGCCTGTGGTACCTGTGGTACCTGTGACATGCCTGTGGTACCTGTGATAAGCCTGTGGTACCTGTGACATGCCTGTGGTACCTGTGACATGCCTGTGGTACCTGTGACATACCTGTGGTACCTGTGGTACCTGTGACATGCCTGTGGTACCTGTGATAAGCCTGTGGTACCTGTGACATGCCTGTGGTACCTGTGACATGCCTGTGGTACCTGTGACATGCCTGTGGTACCTGTGACATACCTGTGGTACCTGTGATATGCCTGTGGTACCTGTGACATGCCGCTCTTGGTGAACTGTTCCAGATCCGCCTGAAGACTCCTCTGCTGCTCCTCGTACACCACCAGTTTGGCCATGAGCCTTTCTGCAAACACAGACACAGACAGTCCATCACCATAGACCTACACATGAGTGCCATAGACCTGTACCCTAGACCTACACCCTAGACCTACACATGTGTACCATAGACCTGTACCCTAGACCTACACATGTGTACCATAGACCTACACATGTGTACCATAGACCTACACATGTGTACCATAGACCTGTACCATAGACCTACACATGAGTACCAGACCTACACATGTGTACCATAGACCTGTACCATAGACCTACACATGTGTACCATAGACCTACACATGTGTACCATAGACCTACACATGTGCACCATAGACCTACACATGTGCACCATAGACCTGTACCATAGACCTACACATGTGTACCATAGACATGTACCATAGACTTACAGATGTGTACCATAGACCTACACATGTGTATCATAGACCTGTACCATAGACCTACACATGTGTACCATAAACCTACACATGTGTACTATAGACCTACACATGTGCACCATAGACCTACACATGTGTACTATAGACCTACACATGTGCACCATAGACCTACACATGTGTACCATAGACCTGGTACCGTTGATGGTACCGTCTCTGTGTGGAGGTACCGTTGATGGTCCTGTCTCTGTGTGGGGATACCGTTGATGGTCCTGTCTCTGTGTGGGGATACCGTTGATGGTCCTGTCTCTGTGTGGAGGTACCGTTGATGGTCCTGTCTCTGTGTGGAGGTACCGTTGATGGTACTGTCTCTGTGTGGAGGTAACGTTGATGGTCCTGTCTGTGTGTGGAGGTACCGCTGATGGTCCTGTCTGTGTGGAGGTACCGTTGATGGTCCTGTCTGTGTGGAGGTACCGTTGATAGTCCTGTCTCTGTGTGGAGGTACCGTTGATGGTCCTGTCTCTGTGTGGAGGTACCGTTGATGGTCCTGTCTCTGTGTGGAGGTACCGTTGCTGGTCCTGTCTGTGTGTGGAGGTACCGCTGATGGTCCTGTCTGTGTGGAGGTACCGCTGATGGTCCTCTGTGTGGAGGTACCGTTGATGGTACTGTCTCTGTGTGGAGGTAACGTTGATAGTCCTGTCTGTGTGTGGAGGTACCGTTGATGGTCCTCTGTGTGGAGGTACCGTTGATGGTACTGTCTCTGTGTGGAGGTAACGTTGATGGTCCTGTCTCTGTGTGGAGGTACCGCTGATGGTCCTGTCTGTGTGGAGGTACCGTTGATGGTCCTGTCTGTGTGGAGGTACCGTTGATGGTCCTGTCTGTGTGGAGGTACCGTTGATGGTCCTGTCTGTGTGGAGGTACCGTTGATAGTCCTGTCTGTGTGTGGAGGTACCGTTGATGGTCCTGACTGTGTGGAGGTACCGTTGATAGTCAAGTCTGTGTGGAGGTACCGTTGATAGTCCTGTCTGTGTGTGGAGGTACCGTTGATGGTCCTGTCTGTGTGTGGAGGTACCGTTGATGGTGCGTAGCTCCTCGTATTGGTCCAGTTTGTGTTGGTTTTCCTGCCGTTCTGCTTCCAGAGCCGAGACGTGAGCCTGAAGAGAACTGAGGTCCAGAGACACAGACCCGGCCTGGAACACACAACCACAATCAGACTCTGCACACTCTGCACCGAGACCAGCTTGGCCCTGAATCAAACCAGGCCGAGCTGGGACCAAAATGTTCCAAGTGTCATTGTTGCTGCTGGTTTAGTGTAATGGAAACGGAACCAAGAAGAGCTGAGCCGAGTCGTGCCGGTGTCATCCAGCTCATTGTAAGTCCTGAATCCAATCCAAACTAGTTTTACAGTCCTGTTCGTCCCGGGTCCAGTCTGGGTAAAACCATATATGTAACATGTATGTGTGTAACGTGTGTAACCATGTATGTAACATGTGTGTAACCATGTATGTAACACATGAGTAACATGTGTGTAACACATGTGTAACATACATGTAACATATATGTAACGTGTGTAACATATATGTAACGTGTGTAACATGTGTGTAACCTGTGTGTAACATTTATGTAACATTTATGTAACATGTATGTAACATGTGTCTAACATGTATGTAACTATGTATGTCACATGTATTTGTGTGTGTAACACGTGTGTAACATGTGTAACATGTAACCTGTATGTAACATGTAACCTATATGTAACATGTGTGTAACATGTGTGTAACATGTGTGTAATGACAGACCTGGCTCTTCCTCAGCTCGTCCTCCAGCTGTTTGATCCTGGATTTGGACCATGCTTTGATCTTCAGGAACTTGGCCTCAGACTTTGTGGCCTCCTCCATTTTCTCCTTCACTTTGGCTGGAAATAAATATGTTCAATATGATTCACCAAGAAGCAAGACCGATAAAAGTAGGTGATAATGGTACACAACAGTTACACAACACTACACAACAGTTAGACAACACAACTGTTACACTACACAACACAACAGTTAGACAACACTACAGTTAGACTACACAACACAACAGTTAGACAACACTACAGTTAGACTACACAACAGTTAGACAACACTACAGTTAGACAACACTACAGTTAGACAACACTACAGTTAGACAACACTACAGTTAGACTACACAACACAACAGTTAGACAACACAACCGTTACACTAAACAACAGTTACACAACTGTTACATTACAAAACAGTTAGACAGCACAACACAACTGTTACACTACACAACAGTTAAACAAAAGCAAAGTGGTTTTCATAGAGTGTAAACTGTAGCTGTTCAGTGTGGGTCACGAGCCCAGGTCTAGTTATGACCACAGACTGTACACAGACGGACATGCTAACCCGCTCTAGGAAGCCCATGGGGAAGTGCTCGTGGGGAAGTTTTGCTCCAACTCGCTCTAACTCCTGAAGCTCAGTAACCATTTGTACTTTAATTTGTCGGGCTTTTCTTGGGCCGTCGACCCGCTCCTTAAGAACCAATGTCTCTATGAGTTGGTTATTATTGCATTTCCATTGATTCTAACGGTTTGATTCTCTGATCTGCTGTTGGCAAATTGACAACTTTGTAAAGTCCTCCATGATGACTGTTGTGTGATTTCAACTAAAATAAAAGAACAATTGGAGAAAAAACTACATAGAATCTTCCAGAGTAGGAGAATAGTTTTCCTGCAGAACACTGACCTTCCAGCTGAGCGATGTTCCTGTCAGGCCGCGCCTCCTCATGCCTCGCTACCTCAGGCTGCCCCTCCTCAGGCCTGCCTGGGGCTTGGGTCTCCAGCAGCCTCCTCTGCAGGTCCTGCTGGCTCTGGCTGATCTCCTCCTGGGTCTGGTGTTGGATCGTCTTCAGTTCGCTCTGGTGTTTGTCCATGAGGTCTTTGATCTGAGCTTTCATCACATGTCTCTCTGCCTCCATTTTGGATTCCAAACTCTTCTGCTCCACCTGCATTCGCTTCAGACGCTCCATCAGCTCCTGGACAGGCGTCATCACAACAGTTCAGACTATTTTATATTATTAGTAAATGTATAGATGCAGCGCTGGTTACACATATTAAGACATGGCACCAAGGAAACTCCTGGATTTCATGTTTTAAATCAATCAACAATCACACGTGTAGCAGCGCCCTCTGGTGGTAGCAGAGAATCACCCTTCATACTTTCATCATTTATGGTCATATTTGCCTTTGTCCTTTCTTTGGCGATAAACCACAGAATGACCCTAAACAGACTTGTGAAAAGCTTCTGAAACACTCACTTTGATCTGAGCGTCCCTCGTGTCCACTTCTCCTTGTAAAACATCTACAACCTGGTTTTTACCCAGAAGCACCTCCTCTTTCTCGTGGAGCTTCTGTTTGAGGGCCTTCAGCAGCTGCAAGACAAATAACAACCACTTCTTTTAGCTCACGATGACATCAGACACGTCCCCATCCCCCCACCCCTTCTGTCCAAATGCTCTGTTCTCCAATTTTACATTTTATTTCATACATTTTGTTCATGTTTTTATAACTGTGCCTTCCATGTTGGAGCAGGAAACACAACCAAAGCAGTATGTTGTTCCCCACTTCCACCACTAGATGGGAGTGTTCAGTCTGACCATCCCTTGCTGCTTTTACACATGTTATTGAAAGGGTCATAGAGAAGGTGACTGTTGGACCGGAGCCAGTACCTGCTCCAGGTCGGCGCTGGCATCAGACTTCGCTGCGAGTCTGAAGAGTTCCTGCTCGTGCTTCTGGTTCATCTCCGTCAGCTGCTGGTCCTTCTGGAGGAGGATGTCTTTGAACGTCTGAATCTACAGGAAACAAATGTGGGAATGTAGAAAACAAATGTGGGAATGTTGAGGAGCAGAAGGGAGAAGGTCCTGGATTTTATGCTCTTATTCCAAAAAACTGGACTCTTTTGTATGTTTTCTCAAGTCTGTAACACTAAGACCAGAGAGAGACCAGAGAGCAGAGGGAGACCAGAGGGAGACCAGAGGGAGACCAGAGGGAGACCAGAGGGAGACCAGAGGGAGACCAGAGAGAGATCAGAGAGAGACCAGAGACCGACCAGAGACCAGAGGGAGACCAGAGAGAGACTAGAGAGAGACCAGAGAGAGACCAGAGGGAGGCCAGAGGGAGACCAGCGGGAGACCAGAGGGGGACCAGAGGCGTCTCTCAGGTGATGTGGGTCTCCGGGGTCCGCTAACGTACGTTCTGCTTGTACATCTCCTCCTTTTTGGTGAACTCCTCCTGCTCCGTGGACAGTAGCTCTTTGAAGCTCTCCGTCTGCTCCTGGAGGAGGCTGTAGCGCTCCTCCATCTCTCCAATCTTCTTGGTCAAGTTCTGCACCAGGTTCTGAAGGTCCACCATGGATCCACTGTCCTCCGTCTCCTAGGAAACAAGGACGGCTTTATCTAATGGAGGAATAACTATTGTGTGACACCAGCTGCAGGTTAGAGAGACCAGAGAGAGGGACCAGAGAAAGAGCGACCAGAGAGAGAGACCAGAGAGGAAGACAAGAGATGGAGACCAGAGAGAGAGACCAGAGGGAGAGATTGGAGAGAGACCAGAGAGAGAGGCCAGAGAGAGGCCAGAGAGAGACCAGAGAGAGATCAGAGAGAGACCAGAGAGAGACCAGAGAGAGAACAGAGAGAGAACAGAGAGAGAACAGAGAGAGAACAGAGGGAGAGATTGGAGAGAGATCAGAGAGAGAGGAGCAGGACTCCTGTACCGTAGGTGGCGCTGTGGGCTGCTCTCCTCCCATGGCTGTCTGCAGGTGCACGATGTAAGCTTCTTTTTCCGCTAACTTCACGTCCTTCTCCGCGAGCATCTGATCGATCTCCTCCCCACGACGAAACCACGACTCCACCTCCTCTTTCTGCAGGAGGCAAAGCAGGTTTATTAGTATAGCACAGGTCATACACAAGACAACTCATTTCATTTCATTTTCATTTTCAAGCCCTTTATTGTCCATTTCTGGGTCAGGGGGGTGGCAATCAGAGCTGCCACCCAATGCTCATAGCACCAGTCCCTTGCTGATCCTCTGCAGGGGGTGAGTCCACAGGAAGATGGCTGCTCTGTCAGTGGTGAAACAGCCTTGATCTTTCAGCGGGGGCTTTAGGCAACGTGGGGTTAAGTGTCTTGCCCAAGGACACAACGACAGTGGACATCAGTGGGAGCAGTTGGAGTAGGTCCCATGGTGGGAAACGAACTCACGAGCTCCAGGCTCAAAGGCCACTGCTCTACCAACTGAGCTACTGTCGCCCCAAGACAAGACAACTCAAAGATAGAAACACTCTTACAGGTCATTCAAATAAGCAGAAGAGTAGAAGCCTGTCTCATATTTGCACAAAGGCTCTTCTAGATTTTACCTACATAGATAATCTGCCAATGTTTTTTTGAAGGTAAAAAGCGGCTGATGTTACAGATTTTCCACATTCGCACGGAACTTCACTCGGGACAAACACAGGAAAGTACTGCATCATGTGTGAGAGGGAAATCTGAATGAAGAGAGGGATCACTAAAGCAGCCAATCAAGTAATTCAATTTAATCTAATCTGAGTACATTAAATGTCTGCGCAGGCTGGGATTAATCAGATTACACAGGATCAAGGTGGATTCAGGCCAGACTCTGCTGGTGACCGCTCACTATGATCACTGACACACTCACTATGATCACTGACGCACTCACTATGATCACTGACACACACTCTCACTATGATCACTGACATCACTATGATCACTGACATTACTATGATCACTGACATTACTATGATCACTGACATTACTATGATCACTGACATCACTATGATCACTGACATCACTATGATCACTGACATTACTATGATCACTGACATTACTATGATCACTGACATTACTATGATCACTGACATCACTATGATCACTGACATTACTATGATGCGGAGCCACTTCAAAGACCACAATTCACTCATTTTAGTTTCTTTGCTTGAGTTTAGAAGTCATTCCATGTTTTCATTTTAAATATCACAGTTGCACCCTTTCAAAGGTCCAGTCCTTATGTGTTTTTAGTCCCAGCAGACACATAGTACCTTGTCCTAATGTGTTTATAGTCCCAGCAGACACATAGTACCTTGTCCTAATGTGTTTATAGTCCCAGCAGACACATGGTACCTTGGCCAGGAGCTCCTGGTCTCTCTGGCTCAGAGCCTGCTCCAGATCCTCCACCTTCTTCTTCAGCAGCACCACTTTCCCCCGAGCCGCCTGCTCCCCACTCTCCCCCTGGAGCAAGAAACACACGGGTCAAACAGAGTCCAGGGCCTCCAGTCCCCAAGGCCCTTTGCCAAGAGTCATCCAGTCCCCAAGGCCATTTCCCAAGAGTCATCCAGTCCCCAAGGCCTTTTACCAAGAGTCATCCAGTCCCCAAGGCCCTTTCCCAAGAGTCATCCAGTCCCCAAGGCCCTTTGCCAAGAGTCATCCAGTCCCCAAGGCCATTTCCCAAGAGTCATCCAGTCCCCAAGGCCATTTCCCAAGAGTCATCCAGTCCCCAAGGCCCTTTCCCAAGAGTCATCCAGTCCCCAAGGCCCTTTCCCAAGAGTCATCCAGTCCTCAAGGCCCTTTCCCAAGAGTCATCCAGTCCCCAAGGCCCTTTCCCAAGAGTCATCCAGTCCCCAAGGCCCTTTCCCAAGAGTCATCCAGTCCCCAAGGCCCTTTACTAAAAGAGTCCTCCAGTCCCGGCCCTCTCCCCAGTCCTCGCCCCCGGGGGCAGAGATTCTGGTGCACTCTCCAGGGGCGGAGGTCCCGGTCCTCTCCACAGGGACAGAGGTCCTGGTCCTCTCCTAGGGGGCAGAGGTCATGTTTAGCGTACCTTCTTGCTGTGAGTGGGTGATGGTGCTCCACTCTTCTTCAGCTCTTCCAGCTGAGAGTTCAGAGATGTGACTTTAGCTTTGTTCTGCAGACGCAGTTTTGACAGTTTGGCCTCACACGTCTCCTTCTCAGCCTGAGACGGATACACACATGTGGTGAGAATAGTTTGAAAACAGAGTATTTGGACAGAAAGAGCGGGGGGACAGGGCTGTGTGAGGAGAGTATTTGAGAGAGTACCTTGAGCTGTTCATCTTTCACCTTCAGAGCAGCGTCTTTCTCTCGGATCAACTCCTTTAACTGCGACACCAGCTGCTCTGTGTGACTCAGGCGCTCCGAGACCTCGTCCACAGGAGCCCCCAGGGGGGAGGAGGGGGGAGGGGGTTGAGGGGAGCCCTGGAGGACACACAACAGACACTTCCATATTTTAAAAATAATAGATATGTTTTCCTTAGGAAGCCAATATTCCGATAAATGCGCAGACATAAACTAGAGGTGGAAGAGGGAAACCGGAGCACCAGGGGGAAACCTAGCAGCCGCAGGGAGAACATGCAAACTCCACAGAAAGGCTGTATATCGAGGCGGAATCGAACCCAGGCCTTTCTTGCATTGACATGTTTTGGTGGTTAGACTTCACAGGTCTTTAAGATTACAGCTCTTTTGAGTGGAAGAAAACCCCAGTTATGTATGTATATGTGTATGTATGTGTGTCTATGTGTGTGTATATATGTATCTGTGTGAGTATATGTGTGTATATGTGTATGTGTATATGTGTGTAGGTCTCCTCTGATAGTGTGACATCACAATGCCATGGCTCCATAACAGTTGCTTGGTTTGTGTTTCAGAGTTGATCATGTCACTCACCGTAGAGCCGGGCGTCCCCTCGTCTCCAGAGAGCCACTTCAACATGACCCTGAACACAAAGCACAGGATCAACAACAGAGCACTCACTCACACTCTCTCTCTCACCCTCTCTCACACACTTGCACACTCACCCCCTCTCACACACTCGCTCACCCCTTCTCACACTCACTCACCCCATCTCACACACTCGCTCACTCTCACACTCATTCACTCAAACTTTCTCCACGTTCCCCTTTTCCTGGACTCTCAAAGTCTCTTCACATAATTATTCTTTCTCTCCAAACACAGCAATGATAAACTGCTACTGTAGCCACAGCTGCCCTAGGGCACACTGACACCACCACCAACCATTCACACACACCTGACTCATTCTAATGTGGGGGAAGTGTCTTGCCTAAGGACACAACTACAGATTGTTCCAGGTCTCCCATCACAGTATAAAAGAGATAATGTAAAATATTGATATCCTTATATACAAATACCATGGACATTTACCTGCTGAATGAGGAGCTAGCTTAAGTTTGGACCTGTTCCGCATTAGGGCTAACACTGTGACCTCAGCTACAGTCGATGGTGTTTGAAAAGTCTCTGCCTGAGGTGTGGCTACAGATCATTCACACACAGGTAACATTAAACCAGGCCATCAGGTTTGCTCCGCCGCACACCCGGGAGAGTGACATTCCTGCAGCACCACCGCTTTGGTCCAGTGTAAACCACATACATGCATATACACACACACACACACACACACACACACACACAGACCCAAACACACTGAACACAGGACGTCTCTGGTCCTTCATGATCTCTGCTGAATACTGTCAGCAGCCCACATTCCGATGCACAAGAGCAGAAAGAATTGCCGTAACCCTGCCCCAGTTTGTGTCTCATCCACAACATAGAGGAGACACACAGTCTGAGGAACTTAAGTGAAAGTAGAGATAAGAGTAGGAAAATCATGTGTTTAAAGTGTGTGGCCAACAGTTAATGAGCTAAATGAGTTTGCTTTTCCATGCGAGTCAATAGGAGTTGGAGCAAAACTACACCATGAGCACTTCCCTATTGGGTTTCATTGTAGGCTAGCATTGTCCAGAGTCTGAACCAAGTTATGATCCATATTGTTTCCATATAAACCTGTAACTACAGTCCATTCTGTCTCAGCTAACACCTAAACATTTCCTTTGGAAGAATAAAAAAATTGGTTATTTGAACTTAGCATTGCGGCTAACCACTTTCAAAATGGTTTTTATGTCGTGTCATCAACTATGCAGCGACTCAAGTTTGAAAGAAAAATATGCAGTAAACTATTGATACCAGGGTGAATATAATATGTGAAAAAGAGAAATGATGAGAGTTTGGGAGCGATTAAACAGTCAGTCTGTGGTCAGTCCTAGGTCTCTCTGTCTCCGATCTCCATCCATCTCTCTGGGGTCTCTCCCTGTCTCTGGTCGCTCTCTCTCTGGTCTCCCCCTCTCTGGTCTCTCTCTGGTCTCCCTCTGGTCTCTCTCTGGTCCCTCTCTGGTCCCTCTCTGGTCCCTCTCTGGTCCCTCTCTGGTCCCTCTCTGGTCCCTCTCTGGTCCCTCTCTGGTCCCTCTCTGGTCCCTCTCTGGTCCCTCTCTGGTCCCTCTCTGGTCCCTCTCTGGTCTCTCTCTGGTCTCTCTCTGGTCTCTCTCTCTCTTTGGTCTCTCTTTCCCTCTGCTCTCTCTCTGGTCTCTCTCTGGTCTCTCTCTGGTCTCTCTCTGGTCTCTCTCTGGTCTCTCTCTGGTCTCTCTCTGGTCTCTCTCTCTCTTTGGTCTCTCTTTCCCTCTGCTCTCTCTCTGGTCTCTCTCTGGTCTCTCTCTGGTCTCTCTCTGGTCTCTCTCTGGTCTCTCTCTGGTCTCTCTCTGGTCTCTCTCTGGTCTCCCTCTGGTCTCCCTCTGGTCTGTGTGAATGAAGCTAGTTCCAGTAAGTATGTAAATGTTATGTATGATTAATCCCGTGAGGTCCACTTCAGCTGTTAGGTGTTAGCATGCTAACGATGCTAACGATGCTAACAGCTAAGCTTTCCTCTCATAACTCTTGTATTGATGAAGACTGCTTGAGTTAAACTGGCACGTACCGGGTTGTGCTCTTCCGGGCTGCACAGGTCACATTTTAGTCCACTTTCAGCAGGAAAAGAGCGCCGTTTTGTAGCTTTTGGGTATTAGCAACGATCCACATTTGACAACAAGAACCCCTGAGACTGCGCATGCGTCGTACATACGTCAGTCCAGTCAGCGCTTTAAAAATGGGCGTTTGGTTTAGTTTGTATTAAAATCATGGATCTATTATTTACATGTTCATTGTTTTACTAAAAAAAAACATTTGAACGTTCCTTTGTCTCTGCACTTGGAGGCTGTCAAATGCTACGTATGTAAGAAAATATTTTTATTTTTTATTTATAATGTTACAGTATGAAAAACAAAACTAAAATCCATTCTTTACACTAAAACAATATTACGTTTTTAAAGAGAGCACAGGGACTGGCTTCCTGCTGGGACTCTGAGGAGCACAGGGACTGGCCTCCTGCTGGGACTCTGAGGAGCACAGGGACTGGCCTCCTCAGTCCTGGATCTACAGCCTCAGTTTACGCTCTTAGAACATCTTTGTGTCCTTAAAACACACTGTTTTTAGGACTGGACCAGACCAAATCTTCATCTGCAAGTTTGCATGTTCCCCCTGTGTCACACACGTCACAAACACGTCACACACACGTCACGCACACGTCACACATGTTGCACACATCACACACACGTCACACACTTGTTACACACACATACGTCACACACACGACACACACACGTCACACAAACGTCACACACACGTCACATACAAGTCACACGTCACACACACGACACACACACGTCACACACAGGACACACACGTCACACACACGTCACGTCACACACACGACACACACGTCACACAAACGTCACACACACGTCACGTCACACACACGTCACACACACGACACACACTGAACAGTGTGGACTGTTTTTTAACAAAAACAATGGACATGAAACGAGGTCCAAGTCTGACATCACAAACCAAACAGGAAGAGAAAATCTACAGAAACATATTGACCTGAAAGATTCAAACATTTGTATTTCTCCTTCTGCTTCTCTGCACCTCCTGCTCCTCTGGCCCTCTGCTCCTCTGCTCCTCTGCTCCTCTACCCCTCTGCTCCTCTACCCCTCTGCTCCTCTGCTCCTCTGCTCCTCTGGCCCTCTGCTCCTCTACCCCTCTGCTCCTCTGCTCCTCTACCCCTCTGCTCCTCTGGCCCTCTGCTCCTCTGCCCCTCTGCTCCTCTGGCCCTCTGCTCCTCTGGCCCTCTGCTCCTCTGGCCCTCTGCTCCTCTGCCCCTCTGCTCCTTGGCCCCTCTGCTCCTCTACCCCTCTGCTCCTCTGGCCCTCTGCCCCTCTACCCCTCTGCTCCTCTGGCCCTCTGCTCCTCTGCTCCTCTACCCCTCTGCTCCTCTGGCCCTCTGCTCCTCTACCCCTCTGCTCCTCTGCTCCTCTACCCCTCTGCTCCTCTGGCCCTCTGCTCCTCTGCCCCTCTGCTCCTTGGCCCCTCTGCTCCTCTACCCCTCTGCTCCTCTGGCCCTCTGCTCCTCTACCCCTCTGCTCCTCTGGCCCTCTGCTCCTCTGCCCCTCTGCTCCTCTGCCCCTCTGCTCCTCTGCTCCTCTACCCCTCTGCTCCTCTGGCCCTCTGCTCCTCTGGCCCTCTGCTCCCCTGCCCCTCTGCTCCTCTACCCCTCTGCTCCTCTGGCCCTCTGCTCCTCTGCCCCTCTGCTCCTCTGCTCCTCTACCCCTCTGCTCCTCTGGCCCTCTGCTCCTCTGGCCCTCTGCTCCTCTGCCCCTCTGCTCCTCTGCTCCTCTGCCCCTCTGCTCCTTGGCCCCTCTGCTCCTCTACCCCTCTGCTCCTCTAGCCCTCTGCTCCTCTACCCCTCTGCTCCTCTGGCCCTCTGCTCCTCTGCCCCTCTGCTCCTCGGCTCCTCTGCCCCTCTGCTCCTCTACCCCTCTGCTCCTCTGCTCCTCTGGCCCTCTGCTCCTCGGCTCCTCTGGCCCTCTGCTCCTCTGGCCCTCTGCTCCTCTGGCCCTCTGCTCCTCTGGCCCTCTGCTCCTCTGCCCCTCTGCTCCTCTGGCCCTCTGCTCCTCTACCCCTCTGCTCCTCTGCTCCTCTACCCCTCTGCTCCTCTGGCCCTCTGCTCCTCTACCCCTCTGCTCCTCTGCTCCTCTACCCCTATGCTCCTCTGGCCCTCTGCTCCTCTACCCCTCTGCTCCTCTGCTCCTCTACCCCTCTGCTCCTCTGGCCCTCTGCTCCTCTGCCCCTCTGCTCCTCTGCTCCTCTTCCCCTCTGCTCCTCTACCCCTCTGCTCCTCTGGCCCTCTGCTCCTCTGGCCCTCTGCTCCTCTACCCCTCTGCTCCTCTGACCCTCTGCTCCTCTACCCCTCTGCTCCTCGGCTCCTCTGCCCCTCTGCTCCTCTACCCCTCTGCTCCTCTGCTCCTCTGGCCCTCTGCTCCTCGGCTCCTCTGCCCCTCTGCTCCTCTACCCCTCTGCTCCTCTGCTCCTCTGGCCCTCTGCTCCTCGGCTCCTCTACCCCTCTGCTCCTCTGCTCCTCTGGCCCTCTGCTCCTCGGCTCCTCTGCCCCTCTGCTCCTCGGCTCCTCTGCCCCTCTGCTCCTCTACCCCTCTGCTCCTCTGCTCCTCTGCTCCTCTGGCCCTCTGCTCCTCGGCTCCTCTACCCCTCTGCTCCTCTACTCCTCGGCCCCTCTGCTCCTTGGCCCCTCTGCCCCTCTGCTCCTCGGCCCCTCTGCTCCTTGGCCCCTCTGCTCCTCTACCCCTCTGCTCCTCTACCCCTCTGCTCCTCTGGCCCTCTGCTCCTCTACCCCTCTGCTCCTCTGCCCATCTGCTCCTCTACCCCTCTGCACCTCTACCCCTCTGCACCTCCTACTCCTCTACCCCTCTGCTCCTCTACCCCTCTGCTCCTCTACCCCTCTGCTCCTCGGCCCCTCTGCTCCTCGGCCCCTCTGCTCCTCTACCCCTCTGCTCCTCTGCCCCTCTGCTCCTCTGCACCCCTCAGTTCTGAGTCCTGGGTGTTTGTCTTTGATCTTTTCTGAGTCTTTGGTGTTGGGTCCTTGGTCATGGGGTCTTGGGTCTCAGAGAGTTTCTTTGGTCTTCACTGGGTCCTGGGTTCCGGGTCTGGGTCAGGTCTTGGTGCCTGACTGCTCAACGAACCATTCACAGGGTCCGAGGTCCAGTTTGAGCTGGTCCAGGACCCACGGGTCTTTCTCTGCTCCTTCGATGAACTCGTCCAACGAGATCCGACCTGAAAATGTACAATGTTGGTATGAGCAACACTCCCACCTGGTGGCCGGGAGGACATACTACAGTTATTATTATAACTACATGTACATATATGAGCAACACTCCCACCTGGTGACCAGGAGGACATACTACAGTTATAGGTATTATCATTATTATTATTATTATTATTATTACTATTACTATTATTATTATATTGTAAATCCACCTTGTCCGTAATTTCATTTAATAACAATCCATATCATTCGAAAAGGGTTTAGTCTGTACTTTTGGCCTCAAAGGACTTATCTATTGTATTTATAAGTGGGAACAGTCTCTGTCAAAGTTCACACGTACAAATCAACATTAATGTAACTGTCAGACTGTTGTACGAGTACTGTCAGACTGTAGTAAGAGTACTGTCAGACTGTAGTAGGGGTACTGTCAGACTGTAGTAAGAGTACTGTCAGACTGTAGTAAGAGTACTGTCAGACTGTAGTAAGACTGTAGTAGGGGGTACTGTCAGACTGTAGTAAGATTACTGTCAGACTGTCAGACTGTAGTAAGAGTACTGTAAGATTGTAGTAAGAGTACTGTCAGACTGTAGTAGGGGTACTGTCAGACTATAGTAAGAGTACTGTCAGACTGTAGTAGGGGTACTGTCAGACTGTAGTAGTACTGTCAGACTGTAGTAGTACTGTCAGACTGTAGTAAGAGTACTGTCAGACTGTAGTAGGAGTACAGACTGTTATGTCCTGTCCTCCCGGGTTCATACGGAGGAGGTTAATCCTTCAGTGAAAGTAAATTAGTGACAGATTATATCCTGATCCTGAGTATTTTTAAGACCATTGTTTACAAAGTGTCTTAAATAACTTACACACAAAGAGAGACCAGAGAGAGAGCAGAGAGAGAGACCAGAGAGACCAGAGAGAGAGACCAGAGAGAGAGCAGAGAGAGACCAGAGAGAGACCAGAGAGAGAGACCAGAGAGAGACCAGAGAGAGACCAGAGAGAGACCAGAGAGAGAGACCCAAGAGAGACCAGAGAGAGACAGTTTGCGTACGTGTGTATACATGAGTGTGTATGTGTCTGTATATATGTGTGTGTATAAATGTGTGTGTGACTCACAGTCGTTGTTCTTGTCGACCAGTGTAAAGATACGGTCCACGATCTCAGCCACGCTCAGGGACGTGTTGGGTTCGTGCGGCTTCTTGATTTTCCAAATGATCTGAAAAATTGGTTCATCCTTTATCTTTGGGTCAGGGTGGGTCAGGGTGGGTCAGGGTGGTCAGGGTGGGTCAGGGTGGGTCAGGGTGGTCAGGGTGGGTCAGGGTGGTCAGGGTGGGTCAGGGTGGGTCAGGGTGGTCAGGGTGGTCAGGGTGGTCCGGGTGGTCAGGGTGGGTCAGGGTGGGTCCGGGTGGTCAGGGTGGGTCAGGGTGGGTCAGGGTGGGTCAGGGTGGTCAGGGTGGTCCGGGTGGTCAGGGTGGGTCAGGGTGGGTCAGGGTGGGTCAGGGTGGTCAGGGTGGTCCGGGTGGTCAGGGTGGGTCAGGGTGGGTCAGGGTGGTCCGGGTGGTCAGGGTGGGTCAGGGTGGGTCAGGGTGGTCAGGGTGGGTCAGGGTGGGTCAGGGTGGGTCAGGGTGGGTCAGGGTGGGTCAGGGTGGGTCAGGGTGGTCAGGGTGGGTCAGGGTGGGTCAGGGTGGTCAGGGTGGGTCAGGGTGGGTCAGGGTGGGTCAGGGTGGTCAGGGTGGTCCGGGTGGTCAGGGTGGGTCAGGGTGGTCAGGGTGGGTCAGGGTGGGTCAGGGTGGGTCAGGGTGGGTCAGGGTGGTCCGGGTGGTCAGGGTGGGTCAGGGTGGGTCCGGGTGGTCAGGGTGGGTCAGGGTGGGTCAGGGTGGGTCAGGGTGGGTCAGGGTGGGTTCAGGGTGGTCCGGGTGGTCAGGGTGGTCCGGGTGGTCAGGGTGGGTGTGGGTGGGTCAGGGTGGGTGTGGGAGGGTCAGGGAGGGTCAGGGTGGTCAGGGTGGGACAGGATGGGTGTGGGTGGGTCCAGGTGGGTGAGGGTCTGACCTTGATGATGGTTCCGACCTCTTCTCGGTCCAAGCTGCCGTTGCCGTCGCGGTCGAACACTTTAAACGACCAAACAAGCTTATCTTTGAGTTTCCCTCGAAAGATCAGGTGAACGGCAGCCACGTACTCCAGGAAGTCTAGATGTCCATCCTATATACACACACATATACGTACATATATACAGTATTTATACACATGTACACACATGTATACACTCTGAGCCCACCCTGTGCCCCACCCTCCCCCCCGCCAACCCTAACCCTAACCCCCCTGAGCCGCACGTACCCCGTTGGTGTCGAAGGAGCGGAACACGGTCTCGATGTAGGCCGACTCTTCCTCGGAGGAGGTGTGGCTGAACCCAAAGATCCTCCTGAACTCGTGCAGGTGCAGGTTCCCGCTCGGACACTCGGTCGCAAACCTCCTGTACAGGTCCTGGATCTGGGACAGGGCCACCTCCGAGTCCGATTCACTGTGGGCCTGACCCATGGCCCCGGCCAATCAGAGAGCGGGGCACAGGGGGGGCATGGGAGAGACCGGGACGGAGACCAGGACCTGGACCAGGGCTGAGACCGGGATGGAGACCAGGACCTGGACCAGGGCTGAGACCGCGATGGAGACCAGGACCTGGACTGGGACCAGGGCTGAAACCGGGATGGAGACCGGGACCTGGACTGGGAGCAGGGCTGAGACCGGGATGGAGACCGGGGCTGAGATCAGGGCTCAGACCAGGACTGGGACCACAAATCTCATCGGACTGAGACGCGCTGCTGATGGAGGAAGGGTCTGTAGAGCCGGAGCTGCAGCATCAGGACCTCGGCCCCATGCACCTCCTTCTTTTATTTATTTATTTCTTTATGTTAAAGACAACACAGACACATCAACTTTCAAAAAGAACACAACATAAAACAAACACAAGACAATAAAAAGCAACAAACACACACACACACACAAATACAAAGGTGAAGTACACTTCTGTGGTCAGAGGAAGTAACTAAAATATGTGTAACTTTTATACACAGTTTTTCTGTTTACACAGCCTCGCTTCTATCAGTCTGCCGCAGGACAGCTGTGGCTACAGCATGTAGTCTCCTGCAGTAATATGTGTGTGTGTCCCTGAGGCTGCAGCTCCAGCTCTACAGAGACAGCTCACTGGTTATTTTCAGCTTTCTGTAATAAATCCAATTGACTTAAAGAATCCAAATCCTACTCAGCCTGGACCTGTGGATCCTCTGGACCCGGGTCCAGTCTGTGCGTACATGTTTGTCTTTTATGAGTGAGTTGTGGTCAGTTGTGTATGTGCGGAAAGAGACCCCCCACAGACCCCCGAGAATTAGTGACAGTGACGTCAGCGAGGATCAGTGCTAAGGAGATCATTGCCATCAAGGCTCTAGACCCAGGACTGAGGCTCTAGACCCAGGACTAAGGCTCTAGACCCAGGACTAGGACTGAGACTGTAAGGACTGTAGATCCATGGACTGTAGACCCGGGACTGTAGACCCAGGACTGTAGACCCAGGACTGTGTGTGTGTGTGTGTGTGAGAGACCCTCAAACCTCGTGAGGAGCAGATGTAGTTCCGTGACTGGGCACCCGGGGGCGCTACAGCTACATGATTCCACTGCTGCCTTATGGGCTAGACACACGGGAGGCGACATCGCATCGCCTCCATTCATTTCAATGGGACGTGCGCGACATAGCGTCAATCGCTAGCGAGCCTCCTGCTCAGCGACGGGCGAAAAACGTGCGTGTGAAATCCTCCCGCTCGTGCATGTATCGTGCACGCGCGGGTCAGCGACGCGATCCCAGAAAGTTGAAATCGGCTCAACTTTTCGACGCTGTCGTCAAGCCGCATCGCGCCCCGTCTGTCATGTTATCTGAGCGACAGCGTTGAGTTTCGCTGATCGCTCTTTAAGGGCTAGACACACGGGAGGCGACAAATGAGAGCGATCAGCGAAACTCAACGCGATGTCGCCTCCCGTGTGTCTAGCCCATTATACTTATATACTTAATATACTCTGTGGGATATATGGGAACAGCAGGAGAGATCAGAGAGAGCAGAGAGAGACCAGAGAGAGAGAACAGAGAGAGACCAGAGAGGGAGACCAGAGAGAGACCAGAGAGAGACCAGAGAGAGAGAACAGAGAGAGACCAGAGAGAGACCAGAGAGAGACCAGAGAGAGAGAACAGAGAGAGACCAGAGAGGGAGACCAGAGAGAGACCAGAGAGAGAGAACAGAGAGAGACCAGAGAGGGAGACCAGAGAGAGACCAGAGAGAGACCAGAGAGAGAGAACAGAGAGAGACCAGAGAGGGAGACCAGAGAGAGACCAGAGAGAGAGAACAGAGAGAGACCAGAGAGGGAGACCAGAGAGAGACCAGAGAGAGAGACCAGAGAGAAACCAGAGAGATAGACCAAAGAGGGAGACCAGAGAGAGACCAGAGAGAGAGACCAGAGAGAGAGACCAGAGAGAAACCAGAGAGATAGACCAAAGAGAGAGACCACATACAAAGTATCCATCCATCCATTTTCTACCCTGTAATCCATTTCTGGGTCAGGGGGGTGGCAATCAGAGATGCCACCCAAGTCTCATAGCACCAACCAGAGAGAGACCACATACAAAGTACTGTCCATAAATTAGTTTTGGTGATTTTTCCTGTGAAATTACTTTAAAACCACATTTCTGTGTTTGCAGCCTGTCGTTTTCTAATGAGTAACAAACAATTAATCCAAAAATTGTTTATTTTACAAAAATAAAAGCACAAATAAATGAATGACAGAGAATGGCAGTGTCTGGTGGATGTGTGGAGTGGTCACAGGGGGCGCTCTCTCCTCAGGGGGCGCTCTCTCCTCAGGGGGGGCGCTCTCTCCTCAGGGGGCGCTCTCTCCTCAGGGGGCGCTCTCTCCTCAGGGGGGGCGCTCTCTCCTCAGGGGGGCGATCTCTCCTCAGGGGGGAGCTCTCTCCTCAGGGGGGAGCTCTCTCCTCAGGGGGGACTCTGAGAGCTTCATTCACCTGCACACGGCTCCACAGCTCGTCACGCTGCTGTTATGAAAGTTTGGTGTCTCCGGCGACTTTTATGTAGAACACTATAGTAGAAAGTGTGTGTCTGTACAGACTGTGTGTGTGTGTGTGTGTGTGTCTGTACAGACAGTGTGTGTCTCTGTGCGTTGAATTTACTGCATTCTTCAAAACAAAACAAAAATAAAGTCTTTAAAAAATCACAGAAAAAACAGAAAAATTAAATTAAGGTAAAATCCAAAAGTTCAGGTTCAGTCCAGAGTCCTGTGGATTTGAGAGGTAGAGTGGTCCAGTCCCTGGGTCCGCTCCCTGGGTCCACTCCCTGGGTCCGCTCCCTGGGTCCACTCTCTGGGTCTGCTCCCTGGGTCCACTCCCTGGGTCCGCGCTCCTTGGATCCGGTCCTTGGATTCGGTCCTTGGGTCCAGTCAGGGTCGGGTCCCACAGTTGCGGAGGACCCATCCCGCTGCGTTGACGTTGAGTCTGAGAAGGTTCATGACCCACTCGTCCTTCTGTGCTCCCTCCATGAACTCTGACAAAGTGATCTGACCTGGAACACAACACACGGAACACAACACACACAGACTGAACCAGACTGAAGCAGGCCGGACCAGACTGAAGCAGACTGAAGCAGGCCCGACCAGAACGGACTGAAGCAGAATGAAGCAGGCCGCCCGAACCAGACTGAAGCAGGCCGGACCAGACTGAAGCAGACTGAAGCAGGCCGGACCAGACTGAAGCAGGCCGGACCAGACCAGACTGAAGCAGACTGAAGCAGGCCGGACCAGACTGAAGCAGGCTGGACCAGACTGGACTGAAGCAGACTGAAGCAGGCCGGACCAGACCGGACTGAAGCAGACTGAAACAGGCCGGACCAGACTGAAGCAGACGGAAGCAGGCCGGACCAGACCGGACTGAAGCAGGCCGGACTAGATCAGACCAGACTGAAGCAGGCCGGACTAGATCAGAGCAGAAGGAGACAGTCTGCTGCTGTCAGACAATGAGCACCCTATCTTCTCTCCTTTCCTCTCCCCCCCCTGGTGTCACACTGTGCCCCCCCCTCCCCTGGTGTAGACCCGTGCCCTTCTGGTACCATCGCGGTTCTGGTCCACCAGTTCAAAGATGCGGTCACAGATCTGAGTGGGGGTCATGTCCTCGGAGCTGACCACTCGGATCTTTTGGCAAACCTGAAACAAACAAACAACCGCTTTAGAACCCAAAGAGTGGATGGAGCTAAAAACATCTCTGGACCAGTCCAAGACCAGTCCAGGACCAGTGCAAGACCAGCCCAGGACCAGTCCAAGATCAGTCCAGCACCAGTCCAGGACCAGTCCAACACCCGTCCAGCACCAGTCCAGCACCAGTCCAGCACCAGTCCAGCACCAGTCCAGCATCAGTCCAGGACCAGCTGCTTGATAAAGTCTGTAACTTTACTTTAGAATGTTCTGGAAACAGTGAGTCCTGAGTGTCTCTGAAACTGTTGATTTGTGTTTTGTTATTTTTCTTTTTTCTGCCTGGTTTTACACTGGTCCAGACCAGAGCAGAGAGAATTCATGGTTTTACACTGGTCCAGACCAGAGAAGAGAGGATTCATGGTTTTACACATGGTCCTGGAGTTGTCGTTTGGAGCATGTTTCATAAGTGTATAATCTGCTCAGAGGATTAGAGCTCAGGGGCAGAGAGGGCTATTCTTACCCACCGCCTGCTGCCTCAACATCCCTGACCCTCACCCTCATGAGGTTATGTTTTACAACTTTCAGATCCTTGAGTCCTTGAAGCTGCTCAAACTCATTATCTGAGCTTAGAACCTGTGACCTGCTTCTTAGCGGAGGCTCCGCTTTCTGACACCATCAGAGGTGTGTGACATCACTTGGAAAGTGTGCAGTTTTTCAGACAATATGAGGTCTCTTTAAAAGTATTGTTTAGAAGAGAACCAGCATCTCTTCTACTCTATATGGTCGTGTTTCCAGTACACTTTATTATCTCTTACTGTATCCTAGCAACCTACCATAAGTCCTGAGTCTACAGCCTCAGTCCTGGGTCAAGATCATAGACTGTAAATATTACAGATGTAGTCTGCCTTCATGCTCGCAATACCACCCCGGGCCGATGGGGGTGGACCCGGAATAATAATTAGCCAATGCTAACATATAGCGTTGGCAGACCTCTCAAAAACGTCTTTACAGGATGGACCAAAAGTTGGCTCTTGGCCCAAAGCTCCGTTCCACATGTGTGTCAATGCTGAGGGGAGTGAATGTTTTTGGACCACTCTAGTTTACTTGCTGTGAATTTTTGAAGTCTCTCGTTCAAATGAATGGAGCTGCTCCGGCTGACGCATGCACAGATGCGTTTTTTCACAATTTTCTTGTGGGCGGGACCACTCGCGGCCATTTTGGATAGCTCCGGTAGAGCTCTATATTAGGCACATTAATTAGAACGGCGGAGATAGGCGTGACTCTGTCCGTTAATTTTTACAGTCTATGATTTTAGCGCACGTCATTTTGGCCACTTTTGAGCCGGGACCCATCCCCACTGGCACAGCTGCATTCATTTAATGAGTGTATTCTGAAGTCCACAGCGACTAAACTAGACCAGTCCAAAAAATTCAGCCCCCTCAACATCAACCCACGTGGTGAACGTAGCTATGGACTTTGGACCAAGAGCCACTTTTAGACCGTCCTGTAAAGACGTTTCCGAGAGGTCAGAACAAGTCCCGGTGATCCAAGATGGCGCCCTTTTCAAATGAATGACTTGTGCTCAGTAGATCATGGGACTTCATGGAGTCCGGGAGATTAGCAGAACTCGCCTATATTTGGGCATCGTCTGGTCCTCCCGGTTCTGCGTAGTGGATTTGCGCAACGCATTATGGGAGTTATCTTTCATGCACACGCACAGAGGGGCTCGGCCGCGCTCTGACCAATCAGAGCTGCTGATCAGAGCAGCGGAAGAGCGGAGCCAGAGCGGGAAGGCAGGGAGCAGAGTTTGTGGCAGTAAAGTGTGGATTTAAAGAAAACCGAAGGATTTAAGAAGAAAAAAAGTTCAAGATAACAAGGGACAGTAAAATTTACACGAAATCCGATCTTTATGAAAGCTGTAGGTTCTCTGTCAGGTTCTCTGTAGGTTCTCTGTCAGCTGAGGTCGTGCTGTTTTAATTTACATTGAGTTCTATGGGACTTTTTTCTGGGTAGCCCTCTTGAATTTAGTCTGTAGTTCCACAGCGCCCCCTGTGCCCATGGGTGGGACAGCTGTAAGCTAGTAATACCGTCCGTCCGTTTTCTTCCACTTCATCCGTTGCCGGGTCGCGGGGGCAGCAGTCCAAGCAGAGACGCCCAGACCGCCCTATCCACACACACTTCCTCCAGCTCGTCCGGGGGGACCCCAAGGCGTTCCCAGGCCAGCTGAGAGACATAGTCCCTCCAGCATGTCCTGGGTCTTCCCCGGGGCCTCCACCCGGTGGGACGTGGCCGGAACACCTCCCCAGGAGTCATCCGGAACAGATGCCCGACCTCAACTGGTTCCTCTCGACGTGGAGTAGCAGCGGCTCTACTCCGAGCTCCTCCCGTGTGACTGAGCTCCTTACCCTATCTCTAAGGGAGCGCCCAGCCACTTTGCGGAGGAAGCTCATTTCTACAGCTTGTATCCGCGATCTCCTTCTTTCGGTCATTACCCACAGCTCATGACCATAGGTGAGGGAGGGAACGAAGATTGACGGGTAAATTGAGAGCTTCGCCTTTCGGCTCAGCTCCCTCTTTACCACAACGGTCCGATACAGCAACCACATCACTGCACACGCTGCACCGATCCGCCTGTCAATCTCACGCTCCATCCTTCCCTCATTCGTGAACAAGACCCCGAGATACTTGAACTCCTCCACTTGAGGAAGGACCTCTCCACTAGAGCCCTGCACGGGCTTATTATCTGGACCCGAGCCCGGCCCTGGCCAGAGGGGGTGGCGCCCCAGCCCGGCCCGGCCTGATATGGTTTCTGGATTTTCAGGCCCGAAACCCGCATCAAGCCCGACTTTTTTTTTTTTTTCTACCTCCCATAACAATGTTTTAGCGTAGTATATAGTGCCGCGCACTGATATGAACACAGGCTTCGCCAGAGGGCGGAGTTATACATGGTAGTAATTTGTTGCAGTGAGTTCTGTGTGTGCGGAGTGAACGGCCGCAGCTGTATGATACACAGATGCCGCAACACAATTGTAAGTAACGCTGTGTATCGTCAATGATAACACTACACAGAACAACAAACACTACAGCGTGATAGAACGCTATATTCAGTGGGTGCGTTCGTAAATGTAATCTGCCACTCTGAAAGTGCGCGAGCCCGGCCCGTGTCCGAGGTCATTATACGGTCATCGGCTCGAAGCCTGGCCCTCGGGCTGTCGGGTTCCTCGGGCCAAGGGCTCAAGTGCAGGGCTCTACTCTCCACCCACCTGAAGAGGGCTAGGCACCTTTTTCCGGTCGAGCACCATGGCCTCAGATTTGGAGGTGCTGATTCTCATCCCAGTCGCTTCACACTCGGCTGCAAACCGCCCCAGTGCATGTTGCAGGTCCTGGTTCGTTGGAGCCAACAGGACAACATCGTCCGCAAACAGCAGAGATGAAATCCTGTGGTCCCCGAACCGGACCCCCTCCGGCCCCTGGCTGCGCCTAGAAATTCTGTCCATGAATACAGTGAACAGAACCGGTGACAAAGGGCAGCCCTGGCGGAGGCCAACATGCACCGGGAACAAGTCTGACTTACTGCCGGCAATGCAAACACAGCTCTGGCTCCGGTCATACAGGGACCGAACAGCCCTCAGCAGAGGACCCCGGACCCCGTACTCCCGGAGAACCCCCCAAAGAACAACCCGGGTAACACGGTCGAACGCCTTCTCCAAATCCACAAAGCACATGTGGACAGGTTGGATGAACTCTCGTGAACCCTCGAGTATCCGATGGAGCGTATAGAGCTGGTCCAGTGTTCCTCGGCCGGGACCAAAACCACACTGCTCCTCCTGAATCCAAGATTCGAACATCGGCCATAGCCTCCTCTCCAGAACCTTGGAGTAAACCTTACCAGGGAGGCTGAGGAGTGTGATCCCACGATAATTGGAACACACCCTCCGGTCCCCCTTCTTGTAGAGAGGGACCACCACCCCGGTCTGCCACTCTATTGGCACCGCCCCCGATCGCCACGCGATGTTGCAGAGACGTGTCAGCCAAGACAGTCCTACAAGATCAAGAGACTTTAGATAGTCAGGACGGATCTCATCCACTCCCGGCGCCTTGCCACCAAGGAGGCTGCCAACCACCTTGGTGACCTCTGCTAGGGAGATGGAAGTATCCGCCCCAATATCTTCAGCCTCTGCCTCCTGGACGGAAGACGTGACAGGGGAGTTGAGGAGAACCTCGAAGTATTCCTTCCACCGCCCGACAATATCCCCAGTCGAGGTCAGCAGCTCTCCACCCGCACCACACACGGTGTTGGCAAAGAACTGCTTCCGCCTCCTGAGGCGCCGGACAGTTTGCCAGAATCTCTTCGAGGCCGACCGATAGTCATGCTCCATGGACTCTCCAAACTCCTCCCAGTCCCGGGTTTTTGCCTCTGCAACAACCTGCACGCTTGGCCAGCCGGTACTGGACAGCTGCCTCAGGAGTCCCCCGAATCATCATGGCTCGATAGGACTCGATTGCCGGTGTTCACCACCGGGTTCGGGGGTTGCCGCCGGGACCAGCACCAGAGACCTTGCGACCACAGCTACGAGCCGCCGCATCGGTGATAGAGGAAGAGAACATGGTCCACTTAGACTCAATGTCCCCCTCCTCCGCCGGGACCTGGGAGAAGCTCTCCTGGAGGTGTGAGTTGAAAGTCCATCTGACAGGGGGCTCAGCGAGACGTTCCCAGCAGACCCTCACTATACGCTTGGGTCTGCCAGGTCTGACCGGCTTCCTCCCCTGCCAGCGGATCCAACTCACAACCAGGTGGTGATCGGTTGACAGCTCCGCCCCTCTCTTCACCCGAGTGTCCGAGACACGCGGTCGAAGGTCAGATGATACGACAACAAAGTCCATCATTGACCTCCGGCCTAGGGTGTCCTGGTGCCACGTGCACTAGTAATACCCTATCCAGTTATTATTATAGATCCATGGGTCAGAAGCATTGAATAAGCATTAGCATTGAATAATGCTTATTCCAGGTCCACCCCCACAGGCCGGGGGTGGTATTGCAGAATGTCTGCACACATCATTTTGGACATTTTTGAGGCAAGACTCGCCCACTCTGGTCCAGAACAGGAGTAGTAGTAGTAAAAACAGCAGTAGCAGCAGCAGTAGCAGTGTCCAACTAGAAGGACTGTGGTGATGATCCAGGACACTTTAACATTCTACAACATGTATGACATTTATCAACATGTGTCCTATATTCTTTGTGTGTTAACTGTTGATTCTCTGATCTGTGTTGGTGATTTCAATGGTTTTGTTAAGTCTCTGAGATGACTTCTGTTGTGACCTAGGGCTATACAAGAATAAATTGTATTGTATTGTATTGTGTAGCAGCAACAGCAGTAGCATTAGCAGCAGCAGTAGCAGCAGCAGCAGGAGTAGCAGCAGCAGCAGCAGTAGCAGGAGTAGCAGCAGCAGCAGCAGTAGCAGTAGCAGCAACAGCAGTAGCATTAGCAGCAGCAGCAGCAGGAGTAGCAGCAGCAGCAGCAGCAGTCTTACCCTGATGAGGTTGCGGACCTCGCTGTGGTCCAGTTTCCCGTTCCCGTCCTTGTCGTACATCTTAAAGGACCACTTGAGTCGATCCTCCAGGTTTCCTCTGAGGATCAGGTGCAGAGCTGCTACATACTCTAGGAAGTCCAAACTATTGTCCTGACACACACACACACACACACACACACACACACACACACACACACACACACACACACACACACACACACACACACACACACACACACACACACACACACACACACACACACACACACACACACACACACACACAAACACACACACACACACACACACACACATGGACACAGACACACACACAAAGATACACACAAAGACACACAGAGACACAGGCGGTAAAACCCCCACACTTCTACACTTCTCTAACACTTGAACTCAGACTGAGAGACCAGAGAGAGAGACCAAAAAGAGACCAGGGAGAGAGACCAGAGAGAGAGACCAAAAAGAGACCAGGGAGAGAGACCAGAGAGAGAGACCAAAAAGAGACCAGAGCGAGACCAGAGAGAGAGACCAGAGAAAGAGACCAGAGAGAGACAAGAGAGCGAGACCAGAGAGAGAGACCAGAGAGAGACCAGAGAGAGATCAGAGAGCGAGACCAGAGAGAGAGACCAGAGAGAGACCAGAGAGAGACCAGAGAGAGATCAGAGAGAGATCAGAGAGAGAGAGACCAGAGAGAGGGACCAGAGAGAGACCAGAGAGAGACCAGAGAGAGAGACCAGGGAGAGGGACCAGAGAGAGAGACCAGAGAGAGACCAGAGAGAGACCAGAGAGAGACCAGAGAGAGATCAGAGAGAGACCAGAGAGAGAGACCAGAGAGAGACCAGAGAGAGGGACCAGAGAGAGGGACCAGAGAGAGGGACCAGAGAGAGGGACCAGAGAGAGACCAGAGACAACAGAGAGCGACAATGCTAACCTATAGGCTCAATCAAGCCCAATAGGCAAGTGTGGCCATAATTGCAGGTAAAAGCCAGATTACTCAGACCTCTGAAGCTAAGCAGGGCAGGACCGGGTTAAATTAGACCTCTGGAAACACCAGGTGCCACAGTGTAGCTGTGCATGTAGAGGTTGTGTCCTTAGGCAAAACACTTCTCCCACATTAGAATGAGTGTGTCTTGCCTAAGGACACAGCATTAATGAAAGTTTGTTTACAGCTAGCCTCTGGGACTGCAGTTGGAAAGTAGTTGTGAGCCAATACAGATAACTGTTGAGCTAGTTAGCTCAACAGTTAGCTCATACAGCTAACAGCTAGTTAGCTCAACAGTTAGCTCATACAGCTAACAGATAGTTAGCTCAACAGTTTGCTCATACCGACACATTTACAGCAGTGTTGATTAATGTGTATCGTCTCTATTCACATAAACAAATAAATAAATAAAGTTAAACATTACAGCCGCAGCCGCCCACTGACTTCAGTTATTGTGTTTCATAAATCCATACAAAGGTCATCATAGACACATGTCATCATAGACTCATGTCATCATAGACTCATGTCATCATGGACTCATGTCATCATGAACTCATGTCATCATGGACTCATGTCATCATGTCATCATAGACTCATGTCATCATAGACTCATGTCATCATGGACTCATGTCATCATGTCATCATAGACACATGTCATCATAGACTCATGTCATCATGGACTCATGTCATCATAGACTCATGTCATCATAGACTCATGCCATCATGGACTCATGTCAACATGGACTCATATCATCATAGACTCATGTCATCATAGACTCATGTCATCATGTCATCATAGACTCATGTCATCATAGACTCATGTCATCATAGACTCATGTCATCATAGGCACATGTCATCAAAGATTCATGTCATCATAGACTCATGTCATCATGGACTCATGTCATCATAGACACATGTCATCATGGACTCATGTCATCATAGACTCATGTCATCATAGACACATGTCATCAAAGATTCATGTCATCATAGACTCATGTCATCATGGACTCATGTCATCATAGACACATGTCATCATAGACTCATGTCATCATGGACTCATGTCATCATGGACTCATGTCATCATGGACTCATGTCATCATAGACACATGTCATCATAGACTCATGTCATCATGGACACATGTCATCATAGACTCATGTCATCATAGACTCATGTCATCATAGACTCATGTCATCATGGACTCATGTCATCATGGACTCATGTCATCATGGACTCATGTCATCATGGACTCATGTCATCATAGACTCATGTGATCATAGACTCATGTCATCATGGACTCATGTCAACATGGACTAGTGTCATCATGGACTCATGTCATCATGTCATCATGGACTCATGTTATCATGGACTCATGTAGTCATAGACTCATGTCATCATGGACTCATGTCATCATGGACTCATGTCATCATGGACTCATGTCATCATGGACTCATGTCATCATGGACTCATGTCATCATGTCATTATGGACTCATGTCATCATGGACGCATGTCATCATGGACTCATGTCATCATGGACTCATGTCATCATAGACACATGTCATCATGTCATCATGGACTCGTGTCATCACGTCATCATAGACTCATGTCATCATGGACTCATGTCATCATAGACTCATGTCATCATGGACTCATGTCATCATAGACTCATGTCATCATGGACTCATGTCATCATGTCATCATAGACTCATGTCATCATGGACTCATGTCATCATAGACACATGTCATCAAAGATTCATGTCATCATAGACTCATGTCATCATGGACTCATGTCATCATAGACACATGTCATCATGGACTCATGTCATCATAGACTCATGTCATCATAGACACATGTCATCAAAGATTCATGTCATCATAGACTCATGTCATCATGGACTCCTGTCATCATAGACACATGTCATCATAGACTCATGTCATCATGGACTCATGTCATCATAGACTCATGTCATCATGGACTCATGTCATCATAGACTCATGTCATCATGGACTCATGTCATCATGTCATCATAGACTCATGTCATCATGGACTCATGTCAACATGGACTCATGTCATCATGGACTCATGTCATCATGTCATCATGGACTCATGTCATCATGGACTCATGTCATCATAGACTCATGTCATCATAGACTCATGTCATCATAGACTCATGTCATCATGGACTCACGACATCATGGACTCATGTCATCATGGACTCATGTCATCATAGACACATGTCATCATGGACTCATGTCATCTTGGAATCATGTCATCATAGACTCATGTCATCATAGACTCATGTCATCATGGACTCATGTCATCATGTCATCATAGACACATGTCATCATAGACTCATGTCATCATGGACTCATGTCATCATAGACACATGTCATCATAGACTCATGTCATTATGTCATCATAGACTCATGTCATCATAGACTCATGTCATCATAGACACATGTCATCAAAGATTCATGTCATTATAGACTCATGTCATCATGGACTCATGTCATCATAGACACATGTCATCATGAACTCATGTCATCATAGACTCATGTCATCATAGACACATGTCATCAAAGATTCATGTCATCATAGACTCATGTCATCATGGACTCATGTCATCATGGACTCATGTCATCATAGACACATGTCATCATAGACTCATGTCATCATGGACACATGTCATCATAGACTCATGTCATCATAGACTCATGTCATCATGGACTCATGTCATCATGGACTCATGTCATCATGGACTCATGTCAACATGGACTCATGTCATCATAGACTCATGTCATCATGGACTCATGTCAACATAGACTCATGTCATCATGGACTCATGTCATCATGGACTCATGTCATCATAGACTCATGTCATCATGGACTCATGTCATCATAGACTCATGTCATCATAGACTCATGTCATCATGGACTCATGTCAACATGGACTAGTGTCATCATGGACTCATGTCATCATGGACTAATGTCATCATGGACTCATGTAGTCATAGACTCATGTCATCATGGACTCATGTCATCATGGACTCATGTCATCATAGACACATGTCATCAAGTCATTATGGACTCATGTCATCATGGACTCATGTCTTCATGGACTCATGTCATCACGTCATCATAGACTCATGTCATCATGGACTCATGTCATCATGGACTCATGTCATTATGGACTAATGTCATCATGGACTCATGTCATCATAGACACATGTCATCATGTCATCATGGACTCATGTCATCACGTCATCATAGACTCATGTCATCATGGACTCATGTCATCATAGACTCATGTCATCATGGACTCATGTCATCATAGACTCATGTCATCATGGACTCATGTCATAATGTCATCATAGACTCATGTCATCATGTCATCATAGACTCATGTCATCATGGACTCATGTCATCATAGACACATGTCATCATAGACTCATGTCATCATGGACTCATGTCATCATAGACACATGTCATCATAGACTCATGTCATTATGTCATCATAGACTCATGTCATCATAGACTCATGTCATCATAGACACATGTCATCAAAGATTCATGTCATCATAGACTCATGTCATCATGGACTCATGTCATCATAGACACATGTCATCATGGACTCATGTCATCATAGACACATGTCATCATAGACACATGTCATCAAAGATTCATGTCATCATAGACTCATGTCATCATGGACTCATGTCATCATAGACACATGTCATCATAGACTCATGTCATCATGGACTCATGTCATCATGGACTCATGTCATCATGGACTCATGTCATCATAGACACATGTCATCATAGACTCATGTCATCATGGACACATGTCATCATAGACTCATGTCATCATAGACTCATGTCATCATAGACTCATGTCATCATGGACTCATGTCATCATGGACTCATGTCATCATGGACTCATGTCAACATGGACTCATGTCATCATAGACTCATGTCATCATGGACTCATGTCAACATAGACTCATGTCATCATGGACTCATGTCATCATGGACTCATGTCATCATAGACTCATGTCATCATGGACTCATGTCATCATAGACTCATGTCATCATAGACTCATGTCATCATGGACTCATGTCAACATGGACTAGTGTCATCATGGACTCATGTCATCATGGACTCATGTCATCATGGACACATGTCATCAAGTCATTATGGACTCATGTCATCATGGACTCATGTCATCACGTCATCATAGACTCATGTCATCATGGACTCATGTCATCATGGACTCATGTCATTATGGACTAATGTCATCATGGACTCATGTCATCATAGACACATGTCATCATGTCATCATGGACTCATGTCATCACGTCATCATAGACTCATGTCATCATGGACTCATGTCATCATAGACTCATGTCATCATGGACTCATGTCATCATAGACTCATGTCATCATGGACTCATGTCATCATGTCATCAAAGACTCATGTCATCATGTCATCATAGACTCATGTCATCATGGACTCATGTCATCATAGACACATGTCATCAAAGATTCATGTCATCATAGACTCATGTCATCATGCACTCATGTCATCATAAACTCATGTCATCATAGACACATGTCATCAAAGATTCATGTCATCATAGACTCATGTCATCATGGACTCATGTCATCATAGACACATGTCATCATAGACTCATGTCATCATGCACTTATGTCATCATAGACTCATGTCATCATGGACTCATGTCATCATAGACTCATGTCATCATGGACTCATGTCATCATGTCATCATAGACTCATGTCATCATGGACTCATGTCAACATGGACTCATGTCATCATGGACTCATGTCATCATGTCATCATGGACTCATGTCATCATGGACTCCTGTCATCATGGACTCATGTCATCATGTCATCATGGACACATGTCATCATGGAATCATGTCATCATGTCATCATGGACTCATGTCATCATGGACTCATGTCATTATGGACTCATGTCATCATGGACTCATGTCATCATGGACTCATGTCATCATAGACTCATGTCATCATAGACTCATGTCATCATAGACTCATGTCATCATGTCATCATAGACTCATGTCATCATGTCATCATAGACTCATGTCATCATGGACTCATGTCATCATAGACACATGTCATCAAAGATTCATGTCATCATAGACTCATGTCATCATGCACTCATGTCATCATAGACTCATGTCATCATAGACACATGTCATCAAAGATTCATGTCATCATAGACTCATGTCATCATGGACTCATGTCATCATAGACACATGTCATCATAGACTCATGTCATCATGCACTTATGTCATCATAGACTCATGTCATCATGGACTCATGTCATCATAGACTCATGTCATCATGGACTCATGTCATCATGTCATCATAGACTCATGTCATCATGGACTCATGTCAACATGGACTCATGTCATCATGGACTCATGTCATCATGGACTCCTGTCATCATGGACTCATGTCATCATGTCATCATGGACACATGTCATCATGGACTCATGTCATTATGGACTCATGTCATCATGGACTCATGTCATCATGGACTCATGTCATCATGTCATCATGGACTCATGTCATCATGGACTCATGTCATTATGGACTCATGTCATCATGGACTCATGTCATCATGGACTCATGTCATCATAGACTCATGTCATCATAGACTCATGTCATCATAGACTCATGTCATCATAGACTCATGTCATCATGGACACATGTCATCATAGACAGTGGCTCAGTCTCAGAGCATTGGCCTTTGAGCCTGAAAGTTGTGGGTTTGATCCCACCATGGGACCTTCTCCACCGACTCTCACTGATGACTGCTGTCATTGTGTCCTTGGGCAAGACACGCTGCATGCCTTCATGTGTATATGTGACATCAGTGAAGTACTTCTTCTTCATTTTCGATCTCAGACTAAAGCCATGTTGTGGAAAACTACAGTGGTCTCCTCACCGCCCCTGACCCTGGTGGTTTGTAAGTTCAGGACCCCAGATTTAGTGTTTAAAGGTTGTAGGTTCAGGACCCCAGCTGTAGTATGTAAACGTTGTAGGTTCAGGACCCCAGCTGTAGTGTGTAAAGGTTGTAGGTTCAGGACCCCAGCTTTAGTGTTTAAAGCTTGTAGGTTCAGGACCCCAGCTTTATTGGTTAAAGGTTGTAGGTTCAGGACCCCAGCTTTATTGGTTAAAGGTTGTAGGCTCAGGACCCCAGCTGTAGCGTTTAAAGGTTGTAGGTTCAGGACCCCAGCTGTAGCGTTTAAAGGTTGTAGGTTCAGGACCCCAGCTGTAGTGTTTAAAGGTTGTAGGTTCAGGACCCCAGCTGTAGTGTTTAAAGGTTGTAGGTTCAGGACTCCAGCTGTAGTGTGAGTACCTTGTTGGTGTCGAAGGAGTGGAAGACGGTCTCGATGTAGCTGGACTCGTCTTCGCTGCTGCTCTGGACGTTAAAGATGCGTTTGAACTCGTGCAGATGCAGCGCTCCGCTCGGACACTCCTTCATGAAGGTGATGCACAGCTCCTGGATCTGTGCCAAGTCTATCTCCTCGTTTCGGCTCTCCTCCTGCCCCATGGCACCTCCTCTGCTCCTCAGCACCTCCTGCTCCTCTGGTCCTTCTGCTCCTCAGCACCTCCTGCTCCTCTGGTCCTTCTGCTCCTCCTGCTCCACTTTGCCCACTGTCGTAGAGCAGCAGTAGTAGTAGTAGTATTATAAATCGCAGTAGTAGTAGTTGTAGTAGTAGTAGCAGTAACAGTTGCACTAGTTACAATATTAGTAGTATTAGTATATATAATAGTAATAGTAGTAGTAATATTAGTATATGTAATAGTAGTAATAGCAGTAGTTGGCAGTATCCTCTGGCTCCAGGAGCGTCTCTGCAGGTGAAGCGTCCGAAGTCAAGCTGCTGTAATCTGTGTTAATCCCTCTCACACAGAGACTGTCACTGACACACACTTAACACGAGACTGTGTGCAACACACACACGCACACACACATATATATATAGTAAAGTACAGTACAGTACAGTACAGTATAGTATAGCATAGTACAGTGCAGTGCAGTATAGTACTGCAAGATATTTACTTTTTCATTCATTCATTCACTCATTTACTTTTTCATTCATTCATCCTCATAAGATAAGATAAACCTTTATTAGTCTCACAGTGGAGAAATGTCAGTGTCATCGTTGCACATTACAGCAGAGAGAGGAGATAAGACTCAGACGCACACATCAAATTGAGTCTATTATTTAAGATAATAGACAATAAAATTAAGATAAAAGTAAAATAAAATAAGATAAACTCTGGGCTATAATTGCACTTGGTTCGGAAGTATTTACAGACGTCTATATTATACATTAGCCCCGGAGAATATGAATATGAGCAGAATAAACATCAGAAATAATATCAACAGGTAAAGTGACTTGAAAGGCAGAATTATCAGATATGTAATAATACAGTAGTACTGATAACAGCTAAAGTGACTAGTGACAAAGTTACTAGTGAATTATCAGTGACACTTGTGCAGACTCAGCAGTTCCTGTTACACATTCTCGTTGTACAGCCTGACAGCAGCAGGAAGGAAAGACCTACGAAACCTCTCCTTCACACAGCGAGGGTGAATTAGTCTGTCACTGAAGCTGCTCTCCAGAGCAGAGAGAGTGTCCTGCAGGGGGCGACAGTCATGGTCCAGATGTTAGTTTGTCCAGGACCCTCCTGTCCCCCACCTGCTGCACTGTGTCCAGGGAACAGCCCAGGACTGAGCTGGACTTCCTGATGTTCCAGCTTCTTCCTGTCCCTCTCTGTGATGCTGCTGCTCCAGCAGACCACACCGTACAAGAGGCTCCACCACAGAGTCATAGAAGGTCTTCAGGAGTGGCCCCTGCACTCCAAAAGACCTGAGCCTCCTCAGCAGGTAGAGCCGGCTCTGGCCCTTCTTGAAGAGGGCGTCTGTGTTATGAGTCTAGTCCAGTTTGTTTCCAGTTCTCATGAGTGACAGGTCGGTTTTACTGATGTGTTGTAAAAGTCTGACAAAAACAAGACTTCATCGTTTGTAAGAATTGAAAATGTTCATTTATTACATCAGTAAAGAACACATGAGACAGACTTTAGGACTGGACCAGGACCAGGTCCCAGTCTGCAGCAGGTCTGGACCAGGACCAGCACCAGGACCAGGTCACGGTCTGCAGCAGGTCTGGACCAGGACCAGGTCACGGTCTGCAGCAGGTCTGGACCAGGACCAGGACCAGGTCACGGTCTGCAGCAGGTCTGGACCAGGACCAGGACCAGGACCAGGACCAGGTCACGGTCTGCAGCAGGTCTGGACCAGGACCATGGACACCTGGTAGGGGTCACAGTCCGCGGCAGGTCTGCGGTCCTCCAGGTAGCCCCTCCCGGCCTCGTGCACGTGTCCCGGGATGCGCACGCTGCACTTGCGCTCCGAGACCGCCCAGGAGAAGGTGCTGAAGTCCGGGTTCGGTCCCACGTTGTTCAGCCGTTGCATGTTCTCCTCGCTGCCGTACACCTCCAGGTGCTCCTCGTGCCGTTGGGCCAGACGCTCGATGGCTTCATGAATGAATCTGTGCAGAAGGGTTTGGGTTTGAATCCACTTTACAAAACAATCAATGAAACTGTTGTCGTTTAAGAGTTTGGGGATTCTCCAAAAAGACATTTACATTTTTATTCACCACATGTTAGACCTGGACTGGGCTTTGGTCCCGCTCTTCATCCAGATTATTACAGTTGGATTATTCAGATTTACAGATTATTACAGTTAGATTATCCAGATTTACAGATTATTAAAATTAGATTATCCAGATTTACAGATTATTAAAATTAGATTATCCAGATTTACAGATTATTAAAATTAGATTATCCAGATTTACAGATGATTAAACTTGTTATACAGATTATTAAAATTTGAATATTCAGATTTACAGATTATTAAAATTGGATTATTCAGATTTAAGCGGGACTAAAGCACCGTCCACGGGTTTCTAAAAATGTACTTTATTCTTACAGATTATAATTTGGGGTCGTATGCTTTAACTGATGAATACTGTGCTGTAGTTTATATAAGTGAGTCATATTTATTTGTGTAGCGCCTTCACAGAGCTTTATGTCTGCTCCTCAGGCACAGATCTGATGCATGTTGTTAGTGGTAGAGGTAACCGGAGCACCCGGAGGAAAACTACACAGACACAAGGAGAACATGCAAACTCCACTCAGAAAGGCACTGTTTCGATCGGGATTTGAACCCAGAAATGCTAACCACTCAGCCACTGTGCCATATCTACTGCATGGGAGTAGTCTCATCCTGCCTCCCTCTTCCTCCCTCCCCCCTCCTCACCTCAGTCCTCCTGCTCGTCCCTCCTCCCTCCCCCCTCCTCACCTCAGTCTTCCCTCCTCCCTCCCCCCTCCCCCCTCCTCACCTCAGGCCTCCCTCCTCTCTCTCCTCCCTCCCCCCTCTTAGCCTCAGGCCTCCTCCCCCCTCCTCACCTCCCTCTCCTCCCTCCCCCCCTCCTCACCTCAGGCCTCCCTCCTCCTCCCTTCCCCCTCCTCACCTCAGGCCTCCATCTCCTCCCTCCCCCCTCCTCACCTCAGGCCTCCTCCCTCTCCTCCCTCCCCCCTCCTCACCTCAGGCCTCCCTCCTCTCTCTCTCTCTCCTCCCCCCCTCCCCTCCCTCCCTCACCTCAGGCCTCCCTCCTCCCCTCTCCTCCCTCTCCTCCACCCTACATGGGAGTAGTCTCATCCTGCCTCCCTCTTCCTCCCTCCCCCCTCCTCACCTCAGGCCTCCCTCCTTCCTCCTCTCTCTCTCCTCCCCCCCCCCCCTCCTCACATCTCCTCACCTCAGGCCTCCCTCCTCTCTCTCTCCTCCCTCCCCCCTCCTCCCCTCTCCTCACCTCAGGCCTCCCCCCTCACATCTCCTCCCTCCCCCTCCTCACCTCAGGCCCCTCCCTCCTCCTCCCTCTCCTCCTTCTCCTCACCTCAGGCCTCCCTCCTCCCCTCTCCTCCTTCTCCTCACCTCAGGCCTCCCACCTCCCTCCCCCCTCCTCCCCTCTCCTCACCTCAGGCCTCCCTCCTCCCTCATGCTCTCGGTGCTGAAGTTCATGTGGCCCCCGTTGGCCCAGATGGGATGCTCCACAGGCTTCGTGGAACGACCCCGAAGTCCTCACAGACTCGGTGGAGGATGTAGCGGGACATCCAGACCTGGTCCCCCAGGTCCACACCTGCACAGGGGCCCACCTGGAACTCCCACTGGAGGGGTGGGGTTGAGAGACTAGATAGAGACCAGAGAGAGACCAGAGAGAGACAACAGAGAGACAACAGAGAGACCAGAGAGAGACCACAGAGAGACAAGAGAGAGACAAGAGAGAGACAAGAGAGAGACCAGAGAGAGACCGGAGACTGACCTGAGCCGGGATGGACCCTGCGGTGGTCTCTGTGATCCGGACCCCCGCGTACAGGTGTTACAGTGACTGAGACTGACCTGTCGACCAAACGTGTTGTTCAGGCCCACGGTGCTGCTCACACCTGAGGGAGAGAGATGCTAATGCTAAAACAGACTGTATACGGATGCTAATGCTAACACAGAAAATCTCTTTTTCAAGGGGGTCCTTTATCAAATAAATAAGATGGCTTACATAAGCATTACAAAACAAAGCAAAACATAACAAATGTGTAACTCAAACATGAATTGTTAACTAAATACTACATTATATATATATATATATATATATATATATATATATATATATATATATATATATATATATATATATATATATGTGCTCCCCACCGGGAGCACATTAACACCAACATCCAGTGTGGGTCCTTGGGCAAGACCCTTAATGCTACTGCCTAACTCATAACCATGAAGGTACAAATAAGCAATGAGATGCCGGATCAGACGTCGCCCGGCCAAACAAGGTCTGCGTCAGGTGCTAGGGAACCAGAGCACCTTGATGAAAAGTGGGCTACTGGAACAAGGCGAAAGTGGGCGAGATCTGATAACAGGGCTCTGTTGGAATGCTACTACTCAAGTAACCCTGGCCAAAGAGGTTACATGCAGAGAATGTGGGCTGAATGGTTACTTCGAAACCCACAGTCACAGTTGACCCCGAAACAACTGGTAGCTCAATGCTCCAACATCCACAAACGGCAACTGCTATTACAGCTTGAGATTGATGAGGTACAACACATGTATGATGCCACAGTTGCCGAGGTAAGAGGGGAGATCCCACCAACTGCAACTCCCCAACCAGATATTGGGTACATAGCCCCAATGGAACCGATAACGCTGAACGAGGCAGCGACTGACCTGAGAGCTAAGATCATGGCTAGAATGGGCACAGGGCAAAGACACCGGCTACAGCGGTTGTGTGAAGTACCACCTAAGGATCTCATAGAAAGCGTGAATGCAGCAGTGAGGGCAATACCTACCACCACAATCACTGACTGGCCAGCCGCCTACAGAGGTACACTGAAGAGAATGAAGCCAGAAGGGTGAACAGGCTGTTCGCAACACAACCTGCGAAGGTGTACGCTCAGTGGCAGGGTAACAACAGGGGAGCAGATCCACCGAGGCTGGAAACTGAACAGTTCTGGAGGAACATATGGGAGAAGGATGCAGCACATAACAGAAGTGCACAATGGCTGGTGACCCTGAGAGAGGAGCACAGCCACCTCCCAGAACAGAACTCAGTAACCATCACAGAGGCAGACATCCGAGAAAGAGTCTCAGGTATGAAAAACTGGACAGCACCTGGCCCTGATATGGTCCATGCCTACTGGCTAAGGACACTCACATCACTCCATGAGCGCCTAGCAGCACAAATGAACCAGCTGCTGAGAGATGGGACTCACCCAGAATGGCTAACCGAAGGGCGAACGGTCCTGATCATGAAGGACCCTGTCAAGGGTGCAGTCCCCTCCAACTACCGGCCAATAACCTGTCTCTCCACAACATGGAAGCTCATGTCAGGCATCATTGCGGCTAAGATAAGTGGGCATATGAAACAATTCATGAGCACAGCACAGAAGGGCATTGGTAGAGACACCAGAGGAGCCAAACAACAGCCCCTGGTTGACAGAACAGTCGCCCAAGACTGCTGGTCACGACACACCAACCTGTACACAGCCTGGATTGATTACCAGAAAGCCTACGACTCAATGCCACACACATGGATCATGGAATGCTTGAAGTTGTACAATATCAACAGGGCTCTAAGGGACTTCGTTGCAAACTCGATGGGAATGTGGAAGACCACCCTTGAGGCAAATGGCAAGCCGCTCGCACAAGTGACCATCAAATGTGGTATCTACCAAGGAGATGCTCTGTCCCCACTACTGTTCTGCCTAGGCCTCAACCCTCTAAGCCAAGTAATTGACCAGATTGGCTATGGATACCGCCTCAGGAACGGAGCAAAGATCAGTCACCTCCTCTACATGGATGACATCAAGCTGTACGCCAAGAGCAAGAGAGACATCGACTCTCTGATCCAAACAACCAGGATCTACAGCCATGACATCGGGATGTCATTCGGACTCGAGAAATGTAGCAGGATGGTGACTCGGAGAGGCGAGGTAGTCCACACAGAAGGGATCTCACTCCCAGAAGGAACAATAGCAGACGTTGAGGACAGTTACAAGTATCTCGGTATACCACAGGCAAATGGTAACCTCGAACAGGTGACAAGGAAAGCGGCAACTGCCAAATACCTCCAGCGAGTAAGGCAGGTCCTAATAAGCCGGCTCAATGGCAAGAACAAGGCCCGGGCAATTAACAGCTACGCCCTGCCAGTGATCAGATACCCTGCAAGAATAATCAGGTGGCCAAAGGAAGAGATTCAGACCACGGATGTTAAAACTCGAAAGCTTCTTACCATGCATGGCGGGTTCCATCCCAAATCCAGCACCCTGAGACTGTACGTAAGCCGTAAAGAAGGAGGCCGAGGACTAGTGAGTGTGAGAGCCACTGTCCAGGACGAAACATCCAAACTCCATAACTACATCATGGAGAAGGCCAAAACGGATGACGTACTCAGTGAATGTCTCAGGCAGTGGCGAGATGAGGAGGTGCCGGAGGAGAGCCCATCATGGGAGAACAAGCCCCTACACGGCATGTACCACCGGAGCATAACAGAAGTGGCTGATCTCAAGAAGTCCTACCAATGGCTAGAAAGGGCTGGCCTACAGGACAGCACAGAGGCACTCATCATGGCTGCACAGGAGCAGGCCCTGAGCACCAGAGCGATAGAGGCCCAGATATACCACACCAGACAAGACCCAAGGTGTCGGTTGTGCAAAGAGGCACTTGAGACGATCCAACACATAACTGCAGGGTGCAAGATGCTGGCAGGGAAGGCCTACATGGAACGCCATAACCAAGTGGCTGGCATAGTGTACAGAAACATCTGTGGAGAGTATGGGCTGGAAACCCCAAGGACTAAGTGGGAAACTCCTCCAAAGGTGGAGAATGAGCGTGCGAAGATCCTGTGGGACTTCCAGATACAGACCGACCGAATGGTAATGGCGAACCAACCTGACATTGTGGTGGTAGACAAAGGGCAGAGGACAGCCGTGGTGGTGGACGTGGCAATTCCAAGCGATGGTAACATCCGGAAAAAAGAACATGAAAAGCTTGAGAAATACCAAGGTCTCAGAGAGGAGCTGGAGAGGGCCTGGAGGGTAAAGGTGACAGTAGTGCCCGTGGTGATCGGTGCACTCGGGGCAGTGACCCCGAAGCTAGAAGAGGTTACAGCGGATCCCCGGAACAACCTCGGACATCTCGGTCCAGAAAGTGCTAGGAACAGCAAAGATACTGCGCAGAACACGTATATACATACATATATATACACACATACACATGCACATATAAATACATATATACACACACATATATATATACATATATATCAGAATCATTTTTATTGCCACGTAAGTAACAGGAAGTCACAGACTTGGAAATTGCTTTGGCTCAGTGCAACAGTCAGAAAAAAGAGAATAGAGTAAGGCATAATAAATCAGCATACACTTCTAAGGAATACAATTTAAAATAGGATAATTACAATGTACAATATGCAAGTGCACATGGTGCACACAATATGCGCAATAGGCAGTGCAATAAGGCGACAGCAGTAAAGTGACTTTACAACAGGCAGTTAAGTGACTTAATAGGGGACAGTAAGGTGACTTAAAGGGGCAGGGGGACAGGTTATGAAGTGTTCGAGAGTCCAAAATTGTAAATTGAAAAAAGTAGTGGCCCAAGAGACGAGCCCTGTGGAACACCTCTATTTACTGTGGCCATTTCTGACGGTGTGCCTTGTACAGTGACTAATTGTTTTCTGCAATGTAAATAAGAGTTAAACCAAAGTAAAACATTTCTGGAAGCACCAATTGAATAGAGTTTGTCCAGAAGAAGGTAATGATCAACTGTGTCAAATGCTTTAGTGAAGTTTATGAATATTGGTGTGACATCACCATAGCCTCTGCCTCTGCCTCAGCTTGATTTAAATTATTTAAAATGTGACGAGTGTTAAGAGGTTTAGAGATCCTTTATTCTTTCATGTGTCACCTTTAATGGGGGAGTCGGCAGAGTCCCATCCAAACGGCTGTCCCTCTAGTGTCTGCAGCAGGTACTGCTGCTTGAAGCAAAACCAGGGTTTTTGGTCCTCCACAGCCTCCATAGCCTCCAGACACACCACCCTCCTGTTCCCCGCTGCAACACAAGACAGTCCTGGATCTACAGCCTCAGTCCTGGGTCTACAGTCTCAGTCCTGGGTCTACAGTCTCAGTCTTGGGTCTACAATCTCAGTCCTGGGTCTACAGTCTCAGTTCTGGGTCTACAGTCTCAGTCCTGGGTCTACAGCCTCAGTCCTGGGTCTACAGTCTCAGTCCTGGGTCTACAGTCTCAGTCTTGGGTCTACAATCTCAGTCCTGGGTCTACAGTCTCAGTTCTGGGTCTAAAGTCTCAGTCCTGGGTCTACAGCCTCAGTCCTGGGTCTACAGTCTCAGTCCTGGGTCTACAGCCTCAGTCCTGGGTCTACAGTCTCAGTCCTGGGTCTACAGCCTCAGTCCTGGGTCTACAGCCTCAGTCCTGGATCTACAGCCCCAGTCCTGGGTCTACAGCCTCAGGTGTCTTACGTGCTGCTGACCCGTCCAGCACCAGGGCGTGGCACAGGATGAGTTTATTGATTCCCAGAGTGAAAGGATCCTGGAACATCCGCAGTGGGACCAGAGAGATCTCGTGGGTTTGTTGGTCAAACCAGTGCGTGCCGTAGAACAGCGGGACGTCTGGGATAGAGTCAGATAAGGATTGACCAATCAGATGCTTTCATTCAGAGGGGGCTGGAACTCCAGCTTTCCCTAGCGACCATCTTAGCAACGCGTCTGCTAGCTTATGATTGAGGTTAGGTCTGAAGCTGTGAGTTTCTCTCTGGACTGGACTCACCGTGGATGCTCTGTGGCTCGCAGGTCAGAGTCTGGGTCTTGGATTTGACGCTGGTCCCGGACGCGTTGACCCAGACGTAAGTGGCCAGGCACTGGGGGGCCGTGGGCAGGGCCAGGTAGGGCTCCCGGGCCAACTTCTGCAGAGATAGGGTCTCTGGCAGGAACGACATCTCACAGATTAACAGAAGTCTATCAGGCTGAAAGAGGCCGAGCAGCCGTTTAAGTTTGGCCAGGTGGGGGCGGAGCTAACAGGTGTGAGGGGCGGGGCCAACCCCCCACACTGGGCTCTGATGTATGTGAGATCAAAGAGCAGCAGGAAGGTGGAGGAGCTACAAGTGGAGAGGAAACTACATTATGAACACAACACTGACACAGAAATTTAAATAATGTCACTCCCTCTCTGGTCTCTCTCTGGTCTCTCTCTCTGGTCTCTCTCTCTGGTCTTTCTCTCTGGTCTCTCTCTGGTCTCTCTCTGGTCTCTCTCTCTGGTCTCTCTCTGGTCTCTCTCTCTGGTCTCTCTCTGGTCTCTCTCTGGTCTCTCTCTCTGGTCTCTCTCTGGTCTCTCTCTCTGGTCTCTCTCTCTGGTCTCTCTCTCTGGTCTCTCTCTCTGGTCTCTCTCTCTGGTCTCTCTCTGGTCTCTCTCTGGTCTCTCTCTGGTCTCTCTCTGGTCTCTCTCTGGTCTCTCTCTGGTCTCTCTCTGGTCTCTCTCTGTTCTGTACGTTATGTTTTGTTTACATTTCTTTTGAAGCAAACCTTGAGTGTCAGCATCAGACTCGTTCTAAAACACACAGAAGTGTCTTGCCAAAGGGCACAACAGTTGATGCTCCAAGGTTGACCTCAGGTCTGTCCTGAACTGTGCAGGATCAACACGAGTCTGGACCAGAAAGTTTCTTTAGATTCAGTTAAGAAGAAATACAAAAATGAATCATGAACTTTAATGTCTAAAACATGAGGAACATTTTTTTAAATCATTTTAAACATTTTATAATGTTTAAATCCTGATCCTCGGTCACGAGGATCAGACCGAGGGGACCATGACCGAGGGGATCAGACCGAGGGGATCAGACCGAGGAGATCAGGTCCTGGCTCCGGGGCTGCAGCAGGTCTGGACCAGGACCGTACAGTCCAGGTACGGGACAGCAGGTCTGGACCAGGGCCTTACAGACCAGGTACGGGTCACAGTCCGCGGCTGGTCGGCGGTCCTCGAGGTAGCCCTGCCCCCGCTGGCTCACATGTCCCGGGACACGCACGCTGCTTTTGCGGTTGGCCGTGGCCCAGGAGAAGGTGTTGAAGTCGGAGTTGATGCCGATGGTGTTGAGGCGCTGCTGGTTCTCGGGTCCTCCGTACAGCGCCATGTGCTGCGTGTGGCGCTGGGACAGGCGCTCGATGGCCTCGTGGATACACCTACAGAGAGCACCTTTAAAACGCTGACCTTTAACCTCTCAGGCATACACAACATGGATCCATGGAACAGAGGAATCTCAGAGTCTAGGATCAGACTCTAACCTCCTGAACTCACCACACTGACATCACACCTGTTGAGCTGCCGCAGCTGTCAAAAGCCGAGCGCACAAAGCTGCTGAGGACACATAGGGGAAGGAGCAGGACTGAGGGTCTCTCTCCCTGATCCCCTTCCTCACATCAGGCCCCCCTCCTCCTGGTTCCTTAGACTCACCTCAAGCCTACCTCCTCCCTCCTCCCCTCTCCTGCCTCTACTCCCTCCCCCCTCCTCACCTCAGGCCTCCCTCCTCCTGGTCTCTCAGACTCACCTCAGGCCTTCCTCCTCCCTCCTCCCTTCTCCTCCCTCCCCCCTCCTCACCTCAGGCCTCCCTCCTACCCTCTCATCCCTCTCCTCCCTCCCCCCTCCTCACCTCAGGCCAATCCTCCTCCCCTCTCCTCCCTCTCCTCCCTCCCCCCTCCTCACCTCAGGCCTCCCTCCTCCCCTCTCCTCCCTCTCCTCCCTCCCCCCTGCTCACCTCAGGCCTCCCTCCTCCCTCATGCTCTCGGTGCTGAAGTTCATGTGACCCCCGTTGGCCCAGCGAGAGCCCTCCACAGGTTTTGCACTGAAGATTGGAACGAGCCCGAAGTCCTCACACACTCTGAGGAGAATGTAACGAGCCATCCAGGCGTGGTCCCCCAGAGCGATGCCTTCAGAGGGGCCCACCTGGAACTCCCACTGACAGAGAGAGAGAGAGGGAGTTAGGGAGAGAAAGAGAGACAGGGAGTTAGGGAGAGAAAGAGAGACAGGAGGAGAGACAGACCCAGGACAGAGAGAGAGAGAGACACCAATTGTCTTGATGATCCACCCGGAAGTAATTCTTGTGTTTCATGAACCTGGCCTGTAGAGGGCGCATGAGCAGAGATGGGACAGTTTTGCTCCGATTGAAAACCATGTAAAGGCTGACTATATACAGTAATATAATATATATATATATATATATATATATATATATATATATATATATATATATATATATATATATATATATAAAATTTGTCCTCACCTCACCTATCCCTCTCTAAGTTCGGGTCCTCTACCAAAGGCCTGGGAGCTTGAGGGTTCTGCACAGTATCTTTGCTGATCCTAGCACTGCACATTTCTGGACCGAGATGTCCGAGGTTGTTCCAGGGATAGGGATATATATATATATATATATATATATATATATATAATCGGGTCTAAGAGAGTACTAACAAATATGTCTCAAAAGAGTTTTTTGAAAGGAATAATAGAAGAAATTGCTGAGTTTCATTCAGGTGGCCTGCAGGGGGCGCTTATCTGGGAAAGCCTTGATACACCGCCCGCCTCATTCCAGTTTTTCAAAATGTCCTCCTTTACATGAGACCGTACACCACACACAAAGATGGCATTTTGACTTCTTCTTCTACTAAATCTCTGTGTATAAACCCGACTGCACCGGCGGGGTACGTCAAATCCTACGTATGTCATTCACTGCCCTGAAGTCAGAGGAAACCCGAGAATACCTTTATGAGTTAAACCTTTCCATAGTTTCTCACCTGTGCTGAGGGTTTCACACCTGTGCTGAGGGTTTCTCACCTGTTCTGGGGGTTTCTCACCTATGCTGAGGGTTTCACACCTGTGCTGAGGGTTTCTCACCTGTGCTGAGGGTTTCTCACCTGTGCTGAGGGTTTCTCACCTGTGCTGAGGGTTTCTCACCTGTGCTGAGGGTTTCACACCAGTGCTGAGGGTTTCTCACCTGTGCTGAGGGTTTCTCACCTGTGCTGGCATGGCCTCGCCCGCCGCTCCCGCCATCTTTATCCCGGCGTAGACACAGGCGTTGTAGTGACTGAGGCTGATGTCACGACCGAACACTCGCTCTAGTCCCACCTGCGCCGAGGCCCCTGAGAACCACAGACCATAGAGGCCCCTGAGAACCACAGACCATGAACCAGAGGCCGCGGCCAGACCCAAGGTTCAGACCGACCCGGGACCAACCACAGACTGTAAACATTACAGACGTAGTGACATCTACAGAAACTTTTGGCTTCTATGGGGCTTTTTCAAAATGGCCACGGGCAGCCCCTCCCTCAGGAAAATGTGAAAACAACTTTTGGACCAAGAACCACTCTTGGACCAAGACCCACTTTTGGACCATCCTGTAAAGATGTTTTCCAGGGGAAAGAAGACCCCATACAAAAACATTGGGTAATTCTCTTTCCGGGTACACCCCCACAGGCACAGGGTAGTATTGCAGTATGTCAGTGCACATGCTCATGGACCTTTTGGATCAGGGACCCGCCCCAACCGGGACCAACACAGGACTGTTCTAACGGTGGAGTGGCTGCGGGTCTTCATTCCGACTAAACAGGACCAGCTCCGCAGAGTTGGACAGTCCTGGGTTAGACCAAGACCAGACCGACGGGACCAGACTCTGATCCAGCTGTTGTGGAGACTGACCCTGTGACCTGCTGTTTGTTCATCTTACTGTTACGTCAGTTAGTTCTGTTTTCATGTTGTAATGATTTGGAAATGTTACTGTCTTACCTTTATCCTTTTCTCTTTAATAAGTTTAATATAAAAGTAAATTTTCTTCTTCTTTAAAATCCAGACATTAATGTTTTTCTCAAATGAAGCTAACATGCGACATGTCCCCACTGACCACACCACAGGGTTACGGTGGCTGAGTGGTTAGCACTCTTCCTTCTCGGCAAGAACGTGTTGGTCGGAACAGCGTCTTTCTGAGTGTTTGCATGTTCTCCCTGTGTCTGTGTAGGTTTTCTCCGGGTGCTCCGGTTTCCCCTAAGCCTAAAAACATGTAGAGTAGGTCTGACAGCGCCCCCTGTAGGTGACCTCACTCTGTGTGGAGTCAGAGACAGATGTAAAGTGCTTTGTGGCGCTGGTCAGTGAAAGGTGCTATATAAATAAAATGGACGTACCTGCAGGGGGCGCTGTGGCGCTGGACCAGCCGAAGGGCAGTCCCTCCAGAGTCTTCAGCACAAACTCCTGTTCAAACCCAAACCAGGGTTTTTGATCCTTCACAGCCTCCATAACCCGCAGACACTCCTCCCTCCTGCTCCCGGCTGGACACAGCACATGTTCACACTCCCAGAGCAGTCAATTTGACGGCTTTTAGTTCACAAAGTGTAACGACTTATTTACATTTTTGGTCTTCAAAACTTAGTAACTTTTTCTGTTTCTGTTCATTTGGAATCAGTTAGCATCAGTTAGCAGGAGTTAGCATCAGTAAGCATCAGTTAGCATGAGTTAGCATGAGATAGCATGAGATAGCATCAGTTAGCATCAGTTTGCATGAGTTTGCATGAGTTAGCATCAGTTAACACGAGTTAGCATGAGATAGCATCATTTAGCGTCAGTTAGCAATTGTTAGCATCAGTTAGCATGAGCCTTTCAACAAACTGGATCAAACATTCATTCATTTTCTGCCCCTTTATTAATCCGTGTCTGAGTCGGGGGGGTGACAATCAGAGCTACACCCAAGTCTCACAGCCCCAGTCCCTCTGATCCTCTGCAGGGGGGGTCCACAGGAAGATGGTTGCTACATCAGTGGTGCCACAGCCTTGGTGCTTCAGCGGGAGCTTCAGGCAATGTGGGGTTAAGTGTCTTGCCCAAGGACACAATGCTCTACCAACTGAGCTACTGTCGCCTCTCAATCAAACAAATGATGAATATTTGATGTTTTGTAGAAATGATGAGGCTGTGTAAGAACCATAGACTGTATATATTAACGGACAGAGTCACGCCTATCTCCGCCGTTCTAACTAACGGGCCAAAAAATTTGCTCTACTGGAGCAATCCAAAATGGCCGCGAGTGGTCCCGCCCACAAGAAAATTCACAGCAAGTAAACTAGAGTGGACCAAAAACATTCACCCCCCTCAGCATTGACACACATGTGGAACGGAGCTTTGGGCCAAGAGCCAACTTTTGGACCATCCTGTAAAGACGTTTTTGAGAGGTCTGCCAACGCTATATGTTAGCATTGGCTAATTCTTCTTCTGGGTCCACCACCACAGGCCCGGTGGTGGTATTGCAGCATGTCAGCGCACGTCATTTTGGCTACTTTTGAGCTGGGACCCGCCCCCACTGGTAAGAACACAGCTGCCAAGGAGCTCAGGCTCATGAAGTACAGCTGTGTGTAGTGCAGCTGTGTTTAGCACTGCTGTGTATTCATCCACAACACATTTTCTTACTATGACTATAGACTAGAGTAGAGTAGAGTAGAGTAGGGTAATGTAGGGTAGGCTAGACTAGACTAGAGTAGGGTAGAGTAGAGTAGAGTAGCGTAGAGTAGCGTAGCTCTGAGGCTCTTACTTGCTGGGGTCCCGTCCCGGTTCCTGGCGTCGCACAGAACCATTTTGTGCGGGCCCCGAATGAAGGGGTCCCTGAAGATGGCGACCGGGACCAGGCTGAGCTCCCTGCTGTGCACGCCACGCCACACCGGCACCTCTGTCAACAAGAGAGAAACCCTATCACTGTCCTGCTGCGAGAGAGAGAGAAACCCTGTCACTGTCCTGCTGTGAGAGAGAGAGAAACCCTGTCACTGTCCTGCTGTGTGTGTGAGAGAAACCCTATCACTGTCCTGCTGTAAGAGAGAGAGAAACCCTGTCACTGTCCTGCTGTGAGAGAAACCCTGTCACTGTCCTGCTTTGAGAGAGAGAGAAACCCTGTCACTGTCCTGCTGTGAGAGAGAGAAACCCTGTCACTGTCCTGCTGTGAGAGAAACCCTGTCACTGTCCTGCTGTGAGAGAGAGAGAAACCCTGTCACTGTCCTGCTGTGAGAGAGAGAAACCCTGTCACTGTCCTGCTGTGAGAGAGAGAGAAACCCTGTCACTGTCCTGCTGTGAGAGAGAGAGAAACCCTGTCACTGTCCTGCTGTGAGAGAGAGAGAAACGCTATCAATGTCCTGCTGTGAGAGAGAGAGAAACCCTGTCACTGTCCTGCTGTGAGAGAGAGAGAAACCCTATCACTGTCCTGCTGTAAGAGAGAGAGAAACCCTATCACTGTCCTCCTGTGAGAGAGAGAGAGAAACCCTATCACTGTCCTGCTGTGAGAGAGAGAAACCCTATCACTGTCCTGCTGTGAGAGAGAGAGAAACCTTGTCACTGTCCTGCTGTGAGAGAGAGAGAAACCCTGTCACTGTCCTGCTGTGAGAGAGAGAGAAACGCTATCAATGTCCTGCTGTGAGAGAGAGAGAAACCCTGTCACTGTCCTGCTGTGAGAGAGAGAGAAACCCTATCACTGTCCTGCTGTAAGAGAGAGAGAAACCCTATCACTGTCCTCCTGTGAGAGAGAGAGAGAAACCCTATCACTGTCCTGCTGTGAGAGAGAGAGAAACCCTATCACTGTCCTGCTGTGAGAGAGAGAGAAACCCTATCACTGTCCTGCTGTGAGAGAGAGAGAAACCCTGTCACTGTCCTGCTGTGAGAGAGAGAGAAACCCTGTCACTGTCCTGCTGTAAGAGAGAGAGAAACCCTATCACTGTCCTGCTGTGAGAGAGAGAGAAACCCTATCACTGTCCTGCTGTGAGAGAGAGAGAGAAACCCTATCACTGTCCTTCTGTGAGAGAGAGAGAGAAACCCTATCACTGTCCTGCTGTGAGAGAGAGAGAAACCCTATCACTGTCCTGCTGTGAGAGAGAGAGAGAAACCCTATCACTGTCCTGCTGTGAGAGAGAGAGAAACCCGGTCACTGTCCTGCTGTAAGAGAGAGAGAAACCCTATCACTGTCCTGCTGTGAGAGAGAGAGAAACCCTATCACTGTCCTGCTGTGAGAGAGAGAGAGAAACCCTATCACTGTCCTGCTGTGAGAGAGAGAGAAACCCTATCACTGTCCTGCTGTGAGAGAGAGAGAAACCCGGTCACTGTCCTGCTGTAAGAGAGAGAGAAACCCTATCACTGTCCTGCTGTGAGAGAGAGAGAAACCCTATCACTGTCCTGCTGTGAGAGAGAGAGAAACCTTGTCACTGTCCTGCTGTGAGAGAGAGAGAAACCCTGTCACTGTCCTGCTGTGAGAGAGAGAGAAACGCTATCAATGTCCTGCTGTGAGAGAGAGAGAAACCCTGTCACTGTCCTGCTGTGAGAGAGAGAGAAACCCTATCACTGTCCTGCTGTAAGAGAGAGAGAAACCCTATCACTGTCCTCCTGTGAGAGAGAGAGAGAAACCCTATCACTGTCCTGCTGTGAGAGAGAGAGAAACCCTATCACTGTCCTGCTGTGAGAGAGAGAGAAACCCTATCACTGTCCTGCTGTGAGAGAGAGAGAAACCCTGTCACTGTCCTGCTGTGAGAGAGAGAGAAACCCTGTCACTGTCCTGCTGTAAGAGAGAGAGAAACCCTATCACTGTCCTGCTGTGAGAGAGAGAGAAACCCTATCACTGTCCTGCTGTGAGAGGGAGAGAGAAACCCTATCACTGTCCTTCTGTGAGAGAGAGAGAGAAAAACCCTATCACTGTCCTGCTGTGAGAGAGAGAGAAACCCTATCACTGTCCTGCTGTGAGAGAGAGAGAGAAACCCTATCACTGTCCTGCTGTGAGAGAGAGAGAAACCCGGTCACTGTCCTGCTGTAAGAGAGAGAGAAACCCTATCACTGTCCTGCTGTGAGAGAGAGAGAAACCCTATCACTGTCCTGCTGTGAGAGAGAGAGAGAAACCCTATCACTGTCCTGCTGTGAGAGAGAGAGAAACCCTATCACTGTCCTGCTGTGAGAGAGAGAGAAACCCGGTCACTGTCCTGCTGTGAGAGAGAGAGAAAACCCTATCACTGTCCTGCTGTGAGAGAGAGAGAAACCCTATCACTGTCCTGCTGTGAGAGAGAGAGAGAAACCCTATCACTGTCCTGCTGTGAGAGCGAGAGAGAAACCCTATCACTGTCCTGCTGTGAGAGAGAGAGAAACCCTATCACTGTCCTGCTGTGAGAGAGAGAGAGAAACCCTATCACTGTCCTGCTGTGAGAGAGAGAGAAACCCTATCACTGTCCTGCTGTGAGAGAGAGAAAGAAACCCTGTCACTGTCCTGCTGTGAGAGAGAGAGAGAAACCCTATCACTGTCCTGCTGTGAGAGAGAGAGAAACCCTATCACTGTCCTGCTGTGAGAGAAACCCTGTCGCTCTGGTCTGTGTCTCACCTTCCAGGCTCTCGGGCTCGTTCTGGTCCGGGTCTCACCTTCCAGGCTCTCGGGCTCGTTCTGGTCTGTGTCTCACCTTCCAGGCTCTCGGGCTCGTTCTGGTCCGGGTCTCACCTTCCAGGCTCTCGGGCTCGTTCTGGTCCGGGTCTCACCTTCCAGGCTCTCGGGCTCGTTCTGGTCCGGGTCTCACCTTCCAGGCTCTCGGGCTCGTTCTGGTCCGGGTCTCACCTTCCAGGCTCTCGGGCTCGTTCTGCATGATCCGTGTCTTGGACATGGGTTCGGTGCCGGAGGAGTTGATCCAAATGTATGTGACCTGACAGTGGGACGGGGGGAGGGCCAGGTACGGTCTCATTGCGATCCTCTGTAGACACAGGGTCTGAGGCCCCAGCGACATCTCTGCGACAGGAGGAGGAGAAAGGAGGAGAAAGGAGAGAGAAGGAGAGAGAAGGGGAAAGAAGGAGAAAGAAGGAGACAGAAGGAGAAAGAAGGCGAAAGGAGGAGAAAGGAAGAGAAAGAAGTAGAGAGGAGAAAGGAGGAGAAAGAAGGAGACAGAAGGAGACAGAAGGAGAAAGGAGGAGAAAGAAGGAGAAAGAAGGAGACAGAAGGAGAAAGGAGGAGAAAGGAGGAGACAGAAGGAGAAAGGAGGCGAAAGGAGGAGAAAGGAAGAGAAAGAAGTAGAGAGGAGAAAGGAGGAGAAAGGAGGAGAAAGAAGGAGACAGAAGGAGACAGAAGGAGAAAGGAGGAGAAAGAAGGAGAAAGAAGGAGACAGAAGGAGAAAGGAGGAGAAAGGAGGAGACAGAAGGAGAAAGGAGGAGACAGAAGGAGAAAGGAGGAGAGAGAAGGAGAAAGGAGGAGAGAGAAGGAGAAAGAAGGAGACAGAAGGAGAAAGGAGGAGACAGAAGGGGAAAGGAGGAGAAAGGAGGAGACAGAAGGAGAAAGGAGGAGACAGAAGGGGAAAGGAGGAGAAAGGAGGAGACAGAAGGAGAAAGGAGGAGACAGAAGGGGAAAGGAGGAGAAAGGAGAAGACAGAAGGAGAAAGGAGGAGACAGAAGGAGAAAGGAGGAGAAAGGAGGAGACAGAAGGAGAAAGGAGGAGAAAGGAGGAGACAGAAGGAGAAAGGAGGAGACAGAAGGAGAAAGGAGGAGACAGAAGGGGAAAGGAGGAGAAAGGAGGAGACAGAAGGAGAAAGGAGGAGACAGAAGGGGAAAGGAGGAGAAAGGAGGAGACAGAAGGAGAAAGGAGGAGACAGAAGGGGAAAGGAGGAGAAAGGAGGAGACAGAAGGAGAAAGGAGGAGACAGAAGGAGAAAGGAGGAGAAAGGAGGAGACAGAAGGAGAAAGGAGGAGAAAGGAGGAGACAGAAGGAGAAAGGAGGAGACAGAAGGAGAAAGGAGGAGACAGAAGGAGAAAGGAGGAGACAGAAGGAGAAAGGAGGAGACAGAAGGGGAAAGGAGGAGAAAGGAGGAGACAGAAGGAGAAAGGAGGAGACAGAAGGAGAAAGGAGGAGAAAGGAGGAGACAGAAGGAGAAAGGAGGAGACAGAAGGAGAAAGGAGGAGACAGAAGGAGAAAGGAGGAGACAGAAGGGGAAAGGAGGAGAAAGGAGGAGACAGAAGGGGAAAGGAGGAGACAGAAGGAGAAAGGAGGAGACAGAAGGAGAAAGGAGGAGAAAGGAGGAGACAGAAGGAGAAAGAAGGAGACAGAAGGAGAAAGGAGGAGAAAGGAGGAGACAGAAGGAGAAAGGAGGAGACAGAAGGAGAAAGGAGGAGACAGAAGGAGAAAGGAGGAGACAGAAGGGGAAAGGAGGAGAAAGGAGGAGACAGAAGGGGAAAGGAGGAGAAAGCGGATGAATGAAGATGTGACAGAGGTTAAATACTTTCATAGAATCAGGCTGAAGACGCTGTGTCAGTCTGTGGCCACAAGAGGGCGCAGTCCCCCGAGCTTTACAAAGTTACACACCCGAGCTTTACGAAGTTACACACCCGAGCTTTACAAAGTTACACACCCGAGCTTTACAAAGTTACACACCCGAGCTTTATGAAGTTACACACCCGAGCTTTACGAAGTTACACACCCGAGCTTTACAAAGTTACACACCCGAGCTTTATGAAGTTACACACCTGAGCTTTAGTGATAGTCAAGGATCTACTTACCGTCTAAGACCTGAGGGTCTCTGAAGAGTGAGGAGCACAGGGACTGAAGAGTGAGGAGCAAAGGGACCGAAGAGTGAAGAGCACAGGGACTGAAGAGTGAGGAGCACAGGGACCGAAGAGTGAGGAGCACAGGGACCGAAGAGTGAAGAGCACAGGGACTGAAGAGTGAGGAGCAAAGGGACTGAAGAGTGAGGAGCAAAGGGACTGAAGAGTGAGGAGCAAAGGGACTGAAGAGTGAGGAGCACAGGGACTGAAGAGTGAGGAGCAAAGGGACTGAAGAGTGAGGAGCAAAGGGACTGAAGAGTGAGGAGCAAAGGGACCGAAGAGTGAGGAGCAAAGGGACCGAAGAGTGAGGAGCAAAGGGACTGAAGAGTGAGGAGCACAGGGACTGTGTGGAGACCTACAGCCCCTAAAGGGGGGAGGTGGACCAATCAGGAGCCAGAGGGACAGACCAATCAGAGACACATGTTAAAGTGACCTTTATCTAAACTTCCACAAAAGTGGTGTGTGTGTGTGTGTGTGTGTGTGTGTCCGTGTGTCCGTGTCCGTGTCCGTGTTGGAAACAAACACACACCCACACAAACACACACCCACACAAACACACACAAACAAACACACACCCACACAAACAAACACAGAGACACGCACACACTGTGGTGCTCCTCTGGTGACTTCCTGTTGAAACACAATTTTAAAAACACACACAATTCCACTGAACAAAATAACACACTTACTTACACTAACAAACAATTTATTTTGTTTATTTGTACATGTTCACCGCACAACAGTAGGAAAGTAACACAATACGACATGGTACAACACACACACACACACACAGGACCAGGTCACGGTCTGCAGCAGGTCTGGACCAGGACCAGGTCACGGTCTGCAGCAGGTCTGGACCAGGACCATGGACACCTGGTAGGGGTCACAGTCCGCGGCAGGTCTGCGGTCCTCCAGGTAGCCCCTCCCGGCCTCGTGCACGTGTCCCGGGATGCGCACGCTGCACTTGCGCTCCGAGACCGCCCAGGAGAAGGTGCTGAAGTCCGGGTTCGGTCCCACGTTGTTCAGCCGTTGCATGTTCTCCTCGCTGCCGTACATCCACATGTCCTCTGGGTGGCGCTGCGACAGGCGCTCGATGGCAGCATGGATGTGTCTGTGGAGGAACAAGACCGGGACCATGAGGAGGTCCAGTCCTGGGTCTACAGCCTCGGTCCTGGGTCCTCCCTCCCCCTCCTCACCTCAGGCCTCCCTCCTCCTCCCTCTCCTCCCTCCCCCCTCCTCACCTCAGGCCTCCCTCCTCCCTCCTACCCTCTCCTCCCTCTCCCCTGCTCACCTCAGGCCTCCCTCCTCCCTCATGCTCTCGGTGCTGAAGTTCATGTGGCCCCCGTTGGCCCAGATGGGATGCTCCACAGGCTTCGGTCTGAACGAGGGAACGACCCCGAAGTCCTCACAGACTCGATGGAGGATGTAGCGGGACATCCAGACCTGGTCCCCCAGGTCCACACCTGCACAGGGGCCCACCTGGAACTCCCACTGGGGGGGTGGGGGGTTGAGAGACTAGATAGAGACCAGAGAGAGACCAGAGAGAGACAAGAGAGAGACCAGAGAGACCAGAGAGACACCAGAGAGAGACAAGAGAGAGACAAGAGAGAGACCAGAGAGAGACCAGAGAGAGACCACAGAGAGACCACAGAGAGACCACAGAGAGACCACAGAGAGACCACAGAGAGACAAGAGAGAGACCAGAGACTGACCTGAGCCGGGATGGACCCTGCGGTGGTCTCTGTGATCCGGACCCCCGCGTACAAACAGGCGTTGCAGTGACTGAGACTGACCTGTCGACCAAACGTGTTGTTCAGGCCCACGGTGCTGCTCACACCTGAGGGAGAGAGATGCTAATGCTAACACAGACTGTATACGGATGCTAATGCTAACACAGACATTATACAGATGCTAATTCTATTTTATTTTATTATTATTTTTATTTAAGGATAGCCCCATTGAGATTTTCTATCTCTTTTTCAAGGGGGTCCTTCATCACATAAGAAAAATAACAAATAAATGAGATGGCTTACATCAGCATTACAAAACAAAGCAAAACAGATTCAGATTCAGTTTATTTGCCATTTGCAGTAAAACACCACATTGGAATACATTAGCAAAAGTCTCCAGTGTGCACAGACAAATACAGACATAAAACAACATTAAAAGACAGAAATAAAAACAAATAAAACAGTAAACAAATGTCACTGTGAAATCGATCGACTAAAACAGTTTCAAAACAAGTGCAAATCATTAAAGTGCTCTGTTCACACTGATAACAGCCTGTGGATAAAAACTGTTAGCGTAACGAGATGTCCTGCATCTCAGAGAGCGATATCTTCTGCCAGAGGGAAGAAGCTGGAACATGGCTTTCCCAGGGTGGCCAGAAGAGTCATTGACAATCCTAAGAGCTTTGTTTAAAAGTCTGGATTTATAAAGAACCTCCAGAACAGGAAGCTCACAGCCCACGGTCCTCTTTGCAGAGCGGAGCACCTTGTTTAAAGCTCTCTTTTCTTTATCTGTGATGTTTCCAAACCACACAGACACAGAACCAACAAGTAAACTCTCAGTGGTGCAGCGATAAAAGTTAAGCACAATCTTAGAGTTAGTGGTAAATTCTCTAAGTTTACGCAGAAAGTAGAGACGCTGACGAGCTTTCTTAACGACTCGGTCAGTGTTTTTAACCCATTTCAGGTTAGACAGAGTTAAACCCAGAAACTTGCACTCCTCTACGATCTGCACCTGGGAGTTGTCGATTACGACAGGCAAATGAGAACTATTGCGACTGAAGTCGTAGACCAGTTCACATGTTTTGGATGCGTTCAACTGGAGGTTGTTAGTTTGACTGAACCACATTTTGTATCTCTGCTCTATAAGAGGATTCATCAGTGTCACTGATGAGACCGATGATGGTGGTGTCATCAGCATATTTAATGATCAAGTTTGAGTCAGAGGAGGACACACAATCGTGAGTGTACAAAGTAAAAAGCAAAGGACTCAAAATACATCCCTGAGGAGAACCAGTGCTCACAGAAACAACATCAGAAAAACAGTCATTGATTTTCACTCTCTGAGATCTGTCAGTTAAAAAGCTAAAAATCCATTTACACATGGCAACACTTAAACCCAGAGACATGAGCTTTTCAATCAGTTTACCTGGGACAAGGCAGTTAAAAGCAGAGCTATAATCGATGAAAAGCATTCTTGCCACAGATTTACTATTGTCCAAGTGACTGTAGACAGAGTTCAGAGCAAAGGAGATGGCATCCTCCACACTCCTGTTCTGTCTGTAAGCAAACTGGAGCGGGTCAACGCTCACAGGGATCTGGCTCTTAATGAAGTCCAGCACAAGCCGCTCAAAAGTTTTCATAAGAACAGACGTGAGGGCCACAGGACGATAGTCATTAAGGCATGTCACAGGAGTTTTCTTAGGAACTGGAATGATGGTCGACTCTTTAAAGCAGTTCGGCACAGTACAGTTCCTTAGCGACAGGTTGAAAATGTCTGTTAGCACAGGGACAAGTTGCTCAGAGCACAGTTTCAGGACACGAGGAGGGATGCCGTCCGGCAGGGGAGAAAGAACACAGCCCTGTGGGGCTCCTGTATTTATAATCCGAGAGTCCGAGACATTCTTCCCCGGACGCACTCGCTGCTTCCTGTCTGTCAGGAAGTCAGTGATCCACCTGCAGGTGGTGCAGGCAGTCAGAGCTGCACCCAGTACACTTAGCACCAGCCCCTCACTGATCCTCCTGCAGGTGGTGAGTCCACAGGAGCTGAGATCTTTCAGTGGGAGCTTCAGGTAAAGTGGGGTTAAGTGTCTTGCCCATGGACACAACGACAGCAGTCATCAGTGGGAGTCGTGAAGTAGGTCTTATTGTGGGCTCGAACTCACGACCTTCAGGCCCAAAGGTCAATGCTCTACCACAGGGGTGCTCAATACGTCGACCGCGATCTACCAGTCGATCGCAAAGGTAGTATTGGTAGATTGAATTAAATAAATAAAAAATTACACATTCTAAACGAATATATACAAAAAACTCCGGGCAAAGTGGAGATTTTTGAAAACTCTGTTAATGCATTTGTGTGTAGACAGAGATAACCAGAGTTTTGCGTTCTCGCACGCCACAGTACCCCCCTAAATTCCTCTGATCACTGAAGCATGGATCATACTAAAAACTGTTCGCTGTGAGATGCTCGCAGCAGCGAACATCCTCCACATCAGAGAGCAGCAAAGTGATCGCGGGGACTCACGCTCGAAAACAACCAAACCAGGACTAGACCAGGGCTAAACCAGGACTAAACCAGGACTAAACCAGGACTAAACCAGGACTAACCCAGGGCTGAGGACGGGGTCAGTGCTTGTAAACATACGTCTTTACTCTGAGTGTCTTCTATGACTGTAAAAGTGCCGTTACCGGCGTCTGCATCAAAGCTCCGCCCACTTCCGTGTTTTTCCCCAACGCAGGACGTAAGAGACGCACATGTTTGGAATGTTACGAATGTGATTGATAACGCAGATGTGTGGATGCTAATTATTTTATAAACGGAGGAGGGGAAATATTTGGATTTTAAAAAACCAGGCATGGCACATGGACATGGCACCACAGTCAAATGACATCTGTGTTTTACTCAGTAATGTTTTACTGACACTTAGGTGACTGCACATGCGCAAACAACCGCGCTCAGTGCAGGAAAGCTAAACCACGACAAACTTGTCAGCGAGTTACCACCAATTTTCCGGACTATGCCTCCCTGGCCGATTCAATTCAGTGCAAGTCATCAGAGTAAACTCGGGTAATGACAAAAAATGTACATAGGTAATTGTGTTGTGTTGTGCTATATTGGCTCATGCGGTTTTGCATGTACATAAACATACATTGTAGATATAAAGAATATTTTTTTGAAATAAATATATGACTTGCATTTTTGTAGTAGGTAGATCATTTTGACTTGATCCTTTTATAAGTAGCTCGCATGCTGAAAAAGTGTGAGCACCCCTGCTCTACCAACTGAGCTACTGTCGCCCCGACGTTCTAACTAATGGGCCAAAAATAGTGCTCTACTGGAGCTATCCAAAATGGCAGCGAGTGGTCCCGCCCACAAGAAAATTGTGAAAAAGCGCATTTGCGCATGCGTCAGCCGACGAGAGCTCCATTCATTTGAACGAGAGACTTCAAAAATTCACAGTGAGTAAACTAGAGTGCCGGGACCCGCCCCCACTGGTCTCAGCCAGACTTTTGTTAGGGGTATAAAACACTGTGTCGTCTGCATACAAGTGGATTTTACACTTAGTCATAATCTTAGGTAAATCCTTTATGTAAATTGAAAAAAGTAGTGGCCCAAGAGACGAGCCCTGTGGAATACCTCTATTACTGTGGCCATTTCTGACGGTGTGCCTTGTACAGTGACTAACTGTTTTCTGCAATGTAAATAAGAGTTAAACCAAAGTAAAACATTTCTGGAAGCACCGATTGAATAGAATTTGTCCAGAAGAAGGTAATGATCAACTGTGTCAAATGCTTTAGTGAAGTTTATGAATATTGCTCCAGTTAACTCCTGATTGTCAAAGGCAAAAAAAATGTCCTTTGTGAGATTCAATAATGCAGTTGTTGTTGAGTGATTTGATCTGAAGCCTGACTGACACTGAGACAGAATGTTATTATTACTAATGCTAACACAGACTGTATACAGATGGACAATGCTAACATAGACACTATGGTGTGACATCACCATAGCCTCTGCCTCTGCCTCATTTAAATTAAATTATTTAAAATGTGACGAGTGTTAAAAGGTTTAGAGATCCTTTATTCTTTCATGTGTCACCTTTAATGGGGGAGTCGGCAGAGTCCCATCCAAACGGCTGTCCCTCTAGTGTCTGCAGCAGGTACTGCTGCTTGAAGCAAAACCAGGGTTTTTGGTCCTCCACAGCCTCCATAGCCTCCAGACACACCACCCTCCTGTTCCCCGCTGCAACACAAGACAGTCCTGGATCTACAGCCTCAGTCCTGGGTCTACAGTCTCAGTCCTGGGTCTACAGTCTCAGTCTTGGGTCTACAGTCTCAGTCCTGGGTCTACAGTCTCAGTTCTGGGTCTACAGTCTCAGTCCTGGGTCTACAGTCTCAGTCCTGGGTCTACAGTCTCAGTCCTGGGTCTACAGTCTCAGTCCTGGGTCTACAGTCTCAGTCCTGGGTCTACAGCCTCAGTCCTGGGTCTACAGCCTCAGTCCTGGGTCTACAGCCTCAGTTCTGGCTCTATATCCTCAGTCCTGGGTCTACAGTCTCAGTCCTGGGTCTACAGTCTCAGTCCTGGGTCTACAGCCTCAGTCTTGGGTCTACAGCCTCAGTCTTGGGTCTACAGTCTGAGTCTTGGGTCTACAGTCTCAGTCCTGGGTCTACAGTCTCACTCCTGGGTCGACAGTCTCAGTCCTGGGTCTACAGCCTCAGTCCTGGGTCTACAGTCTCAGTCCTGGGTCTACAGTCTCAGTCCTGGGTCTACATCCTCAGTCCTGGGTCTACAGTCTCAGTCCTGGGTCTACAGTCTCAGACCTGGGTCTACAGCCTCAGTCTTGGGTCTACAGCCTCAGTCTTGGGTCTACAGTCTCAGTCTTGGGTCTACAGTCTCAGTCCTGGGTCTACAGCCTCAGGTCTGGGTCTACAGTCTCAGTCCTGGGTCTACAGTCTCAGTCCTGGGTCTACATCCTCAGTCCTGGGTCTACAGTCTCAGTCCTGGGTCTACAGTCTCAGACCTGGGTCTACAGCCTCAGTCTTGGGTCTACAGCCTCAGTCTTGGGTCTACAGTCTCAGTCTTGGGTCTACAGTCTCAGTCCTGGGTCTACAGCCTCAGGTCTGGGTCTACAGTCTCAGTCCTGGGTCTACAGCCTCAGTCCTGGGTCTACAGTCTCAGTCCTGGGTCTACAGCCCCAGTCCTGGGTCTACAGCCTCAGGTGTCTTACGTGCTGCTGACCCGTCCAGCACCAGGGCGTGGCACAGGATGAGTTTATTGATTCCCAGAGTGAAAGGATCCTGGAACATCCGCAGTGGGACCAGAGAGATCTCGTGGGTTTGTTCGTCAAACCAGTGCGTGCCGTAGAACAGCGGGACGTCTGGGATAGAGTCAGATAAGGATTGACCAATAAGATGCTTTCATTCACACAGGGGGCGGGAACTCCAGCTTTCCCTAGCGACCATCTTAGCAACGCGTCTGCTAGCTTATGATTGAGGTTAGGTCTGAAGCTGTGAGTTTCTCTCTGGACTGGACTCACCGTGGATGCTCTGTGGCTCGCAGGGCAGAGTCTGGGTCTTGGATTTGACGCTGGTCCCGGACGCGTTGACCCAGACGTAAGTGGCCAGGCACTGGGGGGCCGTGGGCAGGGCCAGGTAGGGCTCCCGGGCCAACTTCTGCAGAGATAGGGTCTCTGGCAGGAACGACATCTCACAGATTAACAGAAGTCTATCAGGCTGAAAGAGGCCGAGCAGCCGTTTAAGTTTGGCCAGGTGGGGGCGGAGCTAACAGGTGTGAGGGGCGGGGCCAACCCCCCACACTGGGCTCTGATGTATGTGAGATCAAAGAGCAGCAGGAAGGGGGAGGAGCTACAAGTGGAGAGGAAACTACATTATGAACACAATACTGAGACAGAAATTTAAATAATGTCACTCCCTCTCTGGTCTCTCTCTGGTCTCTCTCTCTGGTCTCTCTCTGGTCTCTCTCTGGTCTCTCTCTGGTCTCTCTCGGGTCTCTCTCGGGTCTCTCTCTCTGGTCTCTCTCTGGTCTCTCTCTGGTCTCTCTCTGGTCTCTCTCTGTTCTGTACGTTATGTTTTGTTTAAATTTCTTTTGAAGCAAACCTTGAGTGTCAGCATCAGACTTGTTCTAAAACACACAGAAGTGTCTTGCCAAAGGGCACAACAGTTGATGCTCCAAGGTTGACCTCAGGTCTGTCCTGAACTGTGCAGGATCAACACGAGTCTGGACCAGAAAGTTTCTTTAGATTCAGTTAAGAAGAAATACAAAAATGAATGATGAACTTTAATGTCTAAAACATGAGGAACATTTTTTTAAATCATTTTAAACATTTTATAATGTTTAAATCCTGATCCTCGGTCACGAGGATCAGACCGAGGGGACCAGATCGAGGGGATCAGACCAAGGGGATCAGACCGAGGGGATCAGACCGAGGGGATCAGACCGAGGGGATCAGACCGAGGAGATCAGGTCCTGGCTCCGGGGCTGCAGCAGGTCTGGACCAGGGCCTTACAGACCAGGTACGGGTCACAGTCCGCGGCTGGTCGGCGGTCCTCGAGGTAGCCCTGCCCCCGCTGGCTCACATGTCCCGGGACACGCACGCTGCTTTTGCGGTTGGCCGTGGCCCAGGAGAAGGTGTTGAAGTCGGAGTTGATGCCGATGGTGTTGAGGCGCTGCTGGTT